CAAAATACCCATTAAGAGGGTCTCGAGAAAACTTCCTCGAGTGAATGCCCTTTGCCTATATTGGCATGTGAAATTGTGGATTTGCACCTTTATACTTTTATATATATCTCTCATAGATGTATAAATCACAGTTGGTTGTTCTTTGGATAAATCGGTTCTTGCAATGGGAATGTTCCATTTTTTTATGCCGGCTCAGAATCCAAAACATATCCCATAAGTCTTAATTTTAGAAACTTTCGTGACTGCAGGAATTATTATTTGGTTCTTTCGGTTAAGTCACGTCTAAAGATAAAATAATAAATTAAATTAAATAATGACATTTCATTATACCTGATGATGATTGCTTGTGTTGCAATCGAAACGTCGTATGCTATTATTTAATTTAATTTATTATTTTATCTTTAGACGTGACTTAACCGAAAGAACCAAATAATAATATCCCATAAGTACCACCCATTGTTATTTGATCGGAGGAGACAGTTTGATTTTTTGATGAGTCAACCGAATAAACGTGAGTGTTGGTAATCTGCAAGAAGAAGGCTAAAATTTAATATAAATTTAAATGTAATAAAAAAACAGAGAGCTAACATTCTTCAGAGCGCCGTGCTTCACAGTTCCAAATAATATTATTCATGTTCTTGTCACTTTGTGCTGTTCCTGCATTTGACTCATTTACAGGATTTGTGCTCCAATCTTTCTGATAAGTGCGAGGCTTGAGCCATGGGCTGTATAGGTTCAAACTTTCCGTTGTTTTTACTGACAACTAAAAACATTTGGAATGAAACAATTAAGAATTTTTTTTATCTTTTGCTGAATCTATTTGATCCACTTGCAAGCTTGTTATGTGTATGTCAATTTAGCTCGCAGCTATGTGTCTCTGATGCTGACTTTTGTACATAAAATAGTTAAATTATATTCCACATCAATTGTTTTTAGTTTGCTCCTTCCTAATTGCAATATGCATATTACAATGTGACCAATCTCCTTAGTGCTTTATATGCTTTTCACAATCCTGCTTCAGACAAATTATATATTTTGTTATGAAACATTTGTATTCATGGTTGCATCATTACGTACAATACAGATTATTTTGTAGTCAGCTAAACCCCACCTTCTTTGGCATAGATGGAAAAAAAAGTATCGACAATTTTGTCTGTAACATCAGTACACAATGGCTCTCCTGCAAACAAATAGGGCTTCAGTTCAGATGTCGTCTTTGCACTTTTTGACAGAATTTGAATTTAAATTGTGTAAGCACGTTGTTCAAATTAATTGTGAGCCAACGAGCATAACATCATACAATGTATATAATGCATAATCAATGGTATATCTGTGGAGAGTAAGAAATTACAGAAGTGGTGCACAATGTGCAAGAATACGAGACCATCCTGTCACGTGCTTTGTTCTTCAGCAGCGGCATTTCACATTTTGAATTCACGTACGATGTGCATTCCTGCAGCATACATTTACGGTGCTTTCACAAGCATTGTTATTGGGCTCGAAAAATACAAAATGATATTAATGGATGTGTTATATTTATTTATTTAATTATAACCGGCAAGATCAAGAATAACCATCTCGACAACTGCTACAGTTTGTTGCTACTTCCCTGTCATCATGAAACGAGTATAGATCTGTTTTGGTAACTGACAAATATCATTCCAGCGCACTTAAAATTACATTTCGGTGTGGTGACAGATTACAGTAAGATGCTCCTTCGAAAAAAATGTTGGTTGATCCAGCAATTTATTTGACAAATTCGGCTAAACGTATTAAGAAAATAGTCTGCTGCTCGATGAGAGCCATCCTAAACCTTGCAGGTTTTTTGGGACTGTGTCGCCATATTTCACCACGCTGATTAGTGCAGGTTGGGGAAAGCAGGGATCATAGATGTGGATGTATTGCAGTACAATACAACAATAGATTTTGCTACATTGGTGTCCTTCGTGCTGTGTATAGAACAGTTCACCAATTGAATACACTGTGTAACAAAGTAAAATTGTTCCTGGGTAGCAAGTATTATTTCCTAATTGCTTATGCCTCAAAAGTACAGAAAATGGCTATTATTCCCCACAAACTTTGCTTTTGTGACCAGGACAGTGATATTTAGAAAGTTTACCAATTTTCAATGAGAAAACGGGCGAATTTGTGTCTTTTAGTTCACAAAGTCAGAAAACAACAACATATGAATCAAAATGAACATGTAATTATACTAAAGTAATACAAAAAATGACTACAAAAGATTTAGACACCAAGGCGCACTACCACAGGCGGGACTGGCCACAGCAGACCAAGTTCTCTGTGAGGAGGAACAACGTCAAGTGGGAGACACTGGTAGACCTCCGGAAGGTGCCGATGCCACCATTGCACATCAAATTGGGCCTTATGAAACAATTTGTCAGAGCTGTAGATAAGGAGTCGGCAGCCTTCAAGTACCTTCAAGACTTCTTCCCTAAGCGGTCTGAGGCAAAGGTCAAAGCCGGTGTCTTCGTCGGACCACAGATAAAGAAGATCCTGGAGTGCAATGAATTCCCCAAGAAGCTCACTAGTAAGGAGAAAGCGTCTTGGAACAGCTTTGTCGCAGTGGTTCATGGCTTCCTGGGCAATCACAAGGTCGAAAACTATGTGGAGCTGGTTGGGACTCTGGTGAAGAACTACGGCACAATGGGCTGTAGGATGTCCCTGAAAGTCCATATCCTTGATGCTCATCTTGATAAATTCAAGGAGAACATGGGAGCGTACTTGGAGGAGCAAGGCGAGCGCTTCCACTAGGATATACTGGACTTTAAATGCCGCTACCAATGACAATATAATGATAACATGATGGGAGACTACATTTGGGGGCTGATTCGTGAAAGTGATTTACAGTATACTCGTAAATCTCGATAAACTACTCACTTCTAAATCTTTTGTATTCATTTTAGTATTACTTTAGTATAAATACATGTTCATTTTGATTCATGTTTTTTTTGGACTTTATGTGAACGAAAAAGACACAAATTCGCCCGTTTTCTCATTTAAAATAGGTAAATTTGAGAATATCACTGTCCTCGTCACAAAAGCAAAGTTTGTGTGTAATAATAGCCATTTTCGATACTTTTTAGGCATAACCAATTACGACATAACACTTACTACCCAGGAACAAAAATTGAGTTACATAGTGATATCATAATTATACAAATTCATTTCAAACACAGTCTTCAAAGTTGGCTCGGGCTGAATTAAGTGAATAGCTCATATAATTGCATTTTAGTTTATTCATTGTTACATTGGTGACTGGGCTAAGATCATTCAATTTGTTTCACTTGAACAACTGTTTTAATCACAGTGGGGAGACTGGGATTGAGACATTGAAGATCAGTTGTGTTGGATCAGTACTTTGACATAGTCATTAGCCCCCTGAGCTACCAAGGAACCTTTCCATCATTGTTGGCATTAAGGTTTCCTGTTTATATGGAGAGGCATATAGAAAGACAAAGATCCCCTGTATAGCCTTAACAGACTGTTGGGGCAAGTGCTGTTAGTGAGCACCTAAGAGGGGTTGAGTGGCCAACTACCTCGCCCGGTAGCCTTTGTCTTCCTAGTGGTGATGTTTACACATCGCACCAGGTACTCATTTGAGGCTGAGTCAACCTAGGGGATGCCCAGAATCGTTTCAGATAATCGTCACTGATGTTGGCCCTGAGCGAGAATCGAACTCGGGTCAACTATAATATGTATGGTTATGTCCTGGCAATTGCTGCTCATTCTGAGATGTTTATTATTCTGCTGAACATGGCATTTGCCAATAAAAGGAGTGCCCTTACCATCAGCTGCACCAAACCAGAGCACCTGCAAATCAAAAACTCGACACTTTTTATTGTCTCTCGCGTAGGTTAACTCCACTTTCAACGAGTACCTGATAGATGTATTACACAGCTCTATTCCAATGCAATTTTGGGAATTATCATGATGTGTGATCACAATTCAAACTTATATATTGTTTGTGTGGCTTGTACTGTCTGGTTGGTATCGTCATGTTCATATGTTCTGCTTGTTTGTGTTATCTCCTTTTTGTCCAATAGTATTATACTAAGATTGACATAACATTTACATAATTAATAATATTCACTTCTTATACACGCGATAAAAATGCACGCAACACATGCATAAGAATAGATTTTAATTGCTGAATAGTTTAATGGTTACATGTCTAGTAAATTGCGTGATGTACTATATTGCAAAGGTGTAAAATTGTGCTTAACCACCTACACCACCTCCTGATGTGCTATTCTAGCCGTAAAGTTCTTACTAACAGCCGTTGTTGCTATGGGGGAAGTTTTGTTGGGGATTGGCAACGAGCATAAAAGCATCACGCAGCAGCTTTTGGCTGGCCATCGAACGAAGATGGTCACTGCATTGCACACTTTCAGATGCACTTCTGAGGGCGTCTGGAACGCTCTTCCTTCCGATATTTGCAAGCCACCGGAGCTATGCACTTTTAAATAATCTAGATTGAAAACTCGTTTCTTTAGAATTGTTTTTGAGGTTACTTTGTTGTCCATCCCCCCCCCCCGTACCTCCAATTAGCACGGTTGACGACGTACGGTGCGAAAAAAGTTCAACGTACATAGCACACGTGTGTGTTTACACTCTCATGTGTGTGTATCTGGCTGCGTATATGGGGAGCAGTAATTATGTGGTTTGCACACTGTGCTACGAACCTGGTGACCCATGTTCGATTCCAGGTCACGGCCAATAATAGTTGCGAATATATTGGAACCAGTCTGGGCCTTTCCAAGCTTGTTTCAGCCTCAATTAAGTACCTGGTGTGTGTGCATGTGTGTGCGTGTGTGTGTGTAAACATCGCACTTGGGAGACAAAGGTGGCCTAGAATAGTGCTTGCCAAACAACCTTGTCGTGTGCTATGTCGGCCGTCATATTCACATGTTCACGGCACTCGCTCCAACAGTCTGAACATTTTCCATGGTGGGTTGTCTTGTCTGCACGTCTGTGTCCAGAGGGTGCTGCAGGAGGGACTGGTCCGGCATCGGATGCCTCTCGGCCCTCGGCTCTGGCGGAGCCCCTGCCCCACTTCCTCCAGGAGTTGGAGGACGCCTACATCGTGCGCAACAAGCCGGTCACCATGAGCTGTGCCGCCTCGCCCGCCACCCAGATCTACTTCAAGTGCAACGCTGAGTGGGTGTCCCAGCAGGCACATCACGTTCAACAGCGCACGGATCAAGGGACAGGTAGGACTCCATTTGTGGACTATCTCTTCTCAGTCACTTTATGAAGCTGAACGATATCTTTCTTGTAAAGATAGCCGAGGTGAAATGTAGAAGTTGATTTGACCACATGCGTGTGCTGGTATAGATTGCTTTGGGGCCGTTTCTGAATCAATTTAACTGACTCATGAATGTGGGGAGAATGGCACAAATCAAAAGTTCATATCTTTTTTTGGTAGAATCAAAATGTTCAGTGCTCCAGTGTAAATTGAGGGGAAGTAGAGAAAACAAGCTGCAGACATCACCTGAGCAATGTCAGATGTGGTTGTGGCTCAAATGGGTATTTTTGTACGAGAGAGGCATTTTAACACGTAGGCTTTCACGGCCAATATCATCCATAATAGGCGGATATGTGGTGACCACAGTTCTGCGCCCCCCCCCCCCCCCCCCCCCCCCCACTTTGTGCAAGAGCGCAGAAGCGTAGTCACGACATCTACGCCTCTATATAAGGAAAGAAACAGGAGGACTTCTCCACAAATCTGGCTGTCGCCTGATGAAGCTATTTGTAATTACTGGCGAAACGTCGTACTCAGATTGTAAATGTTGTGGCTTGGCTCTCCAACACACCGGTGTGCTGTACCAGTGACGAATTGGCACGTTCTGTTTACGTGACAAACCTTACTAGTTGGCTGTGTCGGGTGGTGGCGGGTTTTAACGACACATTTATATATTTACGTGATCTAACCCAAAAAAACCTGTATTATGAAGAGAGGCATTGTTGGCCATATGCGTGTTTGCAAAGCACTTAACTCACAATCAGAAGATTGCAATTTCAAATTTTGGATGGGAGTCAACTCAGCGCATCTTCTTTCTGGATTTGATGACATTAGTAACACTCACTGAGAAGCCAGGAGAGGTTGTGTTGTGGGGAGCCTCTTTCATAGGAATGTGAGATTCTCACCGCTGACTAAAGGTCGTCAACAGAGCTGAGTACCACCGCATATTAACTGAGAGACACTTTTACTTTTTTTCGTCATTTGCGGTGCAAGTGCATGTAAATGAAAGTATTCGTTTCGGGGTACATATGAAATAGTTAATCCTTCAAATTATCATCTCTCTACATCAGAATGTGTAATGCAGTCTAAAATATTCCGCAGCAAATGGTAATTGGAAGCGATGTAAAATTCTGGCTTCCGGACGAATTCTTTAAGTCATTGATTAAATAATGTGCTTATTAATAATATATTGGTGTAGTGAATATGTAACATAGGTTGAATGAATTGAATCTAAGCACTTCATGGAATTGCATATTCTATCAGGGTTATCAAATGTTTTATAACTGGATGACAGAGGTTTTAAATGAATTGCTATATTGTATTTGTGTATAGTTTGCATTTTAGTATGATCAGACTCGGGAGAGATTGGATCCACGATAGGAATCGAGAATTTTCAACAATGATTCAGAGCTTCTAACAGAGATCACCAATAGTCTTTGCATATTTAAACATTGAGAAATGTTGATATGTGTGCCACACATCTTTTACAAATTGTACAATCAATCATTTGCATGTGCATAATGATAGTTAATATTTTATCTTTGTGGTATATTTCTTTCCTGGCAGCTGATAATAGTGACAATGACAGATGATACTTTGAACATCCATTATGCAAATATTTGGGAAGGACCTTATATTTCATCAAAACACTTCCATACGAAATTACAACCTTCATGTACATCTCTGCTAACTTGATTCACTGATCTTTCAAAACAATCCCATCGATCTGAGCAGTTGTTTCAAATTCACTGCCTCGGAGGTTTACCCAAACCATGGCGTCATCATCGATCAATTTATGTCTCCTCTTAAACTTTCTGAGCCATCTCACTACACTGGAGCAATCAGAATCTCATGGACCATACACAAGGATTGATCTTATATTTGCTGGGCACACATCGTACTCATAATTGCATGTTTGAGCTCACCATATCACCTGTAATGATAATGCAAAAAATAAGTGTGTGACATGGAGTATTGTAATGTGATATTGCGTGAAGTAATCAACACTTTATGTTCTAAAGGCTTCTCAGTTGTATTTTATGGTGTAAATGCTCGGCTGTAAATACTTTCAGGTCATTGCCCCTGACATATAATTTACGTAGTAAATAATTAGCACTTGCACGTACATTTTTGGCAGGATGTACATTACAATTCCCTTTTCTTTCCCATTCTGATAAATCAAAGCTGTGAGCGTGAGTATCCACAATATTTTCCTTTATATAATGCACCAGGTGTGTTTAATGCCATGGTCGTTGTCAACTGCTCTGCTGAAGTTAGGCCCTGACTTATTCCATCAGATGAAAACCATTTAACTATCCAAGCATTTAGGACACTAAACGTTAACAATTGTATGTGCAATTATGCAGAATGGATATGGTGCTAACACACAGACCGAAAAATCCTTTTTATCAGTATTTCAAAAGTCAAATTGTCGATGCTCAAACAAGCAATCTGGTAAAAATTTGTTTCCATTGTGGACCTAGACACTCTGCACAGGGTGCTCATTCGTAGCTTTCAACAAAGGAATACCCCGTTTAATTCACCCCCAACGGATGGGCCGAGCCAGCCCCTGCATTGGATTTGAACTTATGACCTTCCAATTGTGAGCTGAGTTCTTTACCAACAGCACGACCAGGGTAGATAAGAGTGTTTATGATTTGAACAATAAGCAATGTTTATTTGCATGTAAATACGCAGTCTGTACTCACACTTAATTTACCACCAGCTAGTTAATGTCCTAGTGCTCAAGTCGAATTTGAAATGGAAACCCGAACACAGAGGCACTTCCACTGTCAATTAGCACAACAAGGTATCATGTTTGTGAAATACTCAATTAAGAAATGACAGCGCTGCTAATTCAGATCTCAAGTGGCAGGTGTTGGCTATGCAATGGGCTTTAAGTCACTTTAGACCTTTAGGTTCCAAGTGCTCCAAAATACATATGCATGTTGTGGGCATTCTACTCCAATACCACAGGTTCCTTATATTTATTCAAATATTGCATCACCATAATTTTGGGGGCGTATTGCGAGCATGAGAGTCCCATCCCAATTAGTTTGAATGACCGTGCCTTAACTGTATTCCATTTTTTTGTATTATTATTCTTGCATATTTTACGAATTATACCCAACCGTGCTTCCTGGAGTTAGGCAAAGAAGGAAGGGTGTTTCATTAATCCTTTCCGACCTCCTCTACAGAGAGCGAAGCCACACGTTTTTGGGAGATTGACCCCAGAACTGACATTAGTGGCCTTTGACTAATGTTCTTCACCACAACCACTGCACTGCACTCTTTCAATTGCGCAGACACATCCTTCGGAACTGAGCTTCACCAAATTAAATAGAAAATCAAATTATGGACTTTTTTTTTATCACCGATGGCTGTACTTGGACCATAAAACTCACTAACCACGAGAGCCTCACTTCATTCCAGACTTTAAGCTCAAAATCCTTACAATGTAAGGATAAACACTGTTACACGAGTATATCATTATTCTCCTGAGCCATTCTGACATCTCAATATATTTTCCTACTCAAATAAAAATGAAGCAACTGAACTGACAGTGGTACACCAGTTTCAACTGATGAATCATTGACCATTTTTAACAATTGCCATGGCAAGAAACATAAAGATTATATTATGGAAATAATTATTATTATTCAAAGTGGTGATCCATATGCTCAAACTATGAACCTTCCATTGTCCAGCACTTGGGAACTTAGCTAATGGATTACATTTGCATTGTATAGAAATGTAATTAGTACTTATAAGCTAGGAGATATCACCCCCCCCCCCCCCACTCCTCCAAAGACAAAGATTCCCCAGTATAGCCTAACAGACTGTTGGGGTTTTGATTTAAAGCTTTCGTGACTGCAGGGATTCATCTTCTTGGTTCTTTCGGTAAAGTCACGTAGAAGGTGAAGACGGCTGCTTGCGTTGTAGCCGAAACGTCGTGAGAATTATTTTATTTTAATTATTTTATAATGTTTTATTTTTATTATTTTATTACTTCCCTTCTACGTGACTTTACCGAAAGAACCAAGAAGAAGACTGTTGGAGGTAAGTGCTGTTATAGAGCAGCACCTATGAAGGCCAGTACAGCACATGAGGGGGGTGCGTGGCCAGCACCACCTCAGGCTGCCTTTGCCTACCTCGTGGAAATGTTTTTTAATCCTTTATATTAAGTTCACTTGCTTGCTTGCGCGCTTATGACCGTGCAAATCTTTCGATAGTTTTTTAACCCACTTCCCGTGATCCAATCGAGCTGACATTTTGCACACAGACTCGTTGTGCGTGACAACACTTTTTAGGAAAAAAATACATTATATTTAATTACCAATTGCTTAATGGTGGCAGGCAATCATCTGACCCATAGGTGGCAGCCATCTCAAGCCAGAGGACGAGAGGACTCTAGCCGCCACGCATGTAAAGGATTTATAGTGAAAAACTTTGTTTTTACGGGTTAATTTTTTACACATCGCACTCGGTACTCAATTGAGGCTGAGTCGACGTAGGGGAGGCCCAGGACCGGTTCAAATAATCGTCACTGGTGTTGTCCATGAGCGGAAATCGAACTCGGGTGGTCAGGTTGGTAGCGCAGTGAGCTATCCGCTCTGCTACCGCTTTCCACTGTGCTGATACCACCCATCTCCACCAACCGATCATCATCACCCATCTGCACAAAACACCAACTCGCAGCACCACGATACAGCCCCAGCAAGTTACTGGGAGAGTGCGACACAGCAATGGCAGGGTCCCCCTGGTCCAAGAAGTTACGTAACAGCAGCAGAAGATTGCATAATCTGTGCAAACTGTATTGGCAGGTGAAGCATGTAAGATATGTGTGCATGTGTGTGTGTGTGCGCAGGACGATCGGTGCGGGAGGTTCAGACGGACGTGTCCCGGCAGCAGGTGGAGGTGTACTACGGGCCGGAGCCTTATTGGTGTCAGTGCGTCGCCTGGAGCGCTGCCGGCACTAGCAAGAGCCGCAAGGCTTACGTCCGCATAGCATGTTCGTGAAAACCCCTCTTTTGCCCATTCTCGTGTTTACATTTATTTCTACGTTTTTTCTCAGTTATGGCATCAGAATCCACAAGTACATTCAGTATTTCCCCCTCTGAAAATCCTTATTGATCAACGGTCACACAGAGGAACACTCCAAAGTGATGTTATGTTTGTCTATTTTACTTCAAACAACATACTTGTTTGCCTCACTGTATAGAATCTGGCTCCTAACCCTGAAGCAAGACTTCACATCCCAGTCAGGGGGTTGACACGGCCCAACAATGCTCCAGGTCTATAAATTAAGCACCGTTTTGTGGGAAGTTTCACATGGTGATCTTATGAATAAACCGCCTGCCATGCCTTATGAATGTGAATTGCTGTACCCCTGGCTTCGGGCCACCAATGGAGATGAGCATAATCCAATGTTCATTTGAGCAGGGAAGCACCTTGACTTTGTTTTAGCTGCAGCCAAGCTGTAAAAATTATTATTAAGAGCACAAACAAATATCAAAATATGCGGGAGATTGGCATAACTGCCCTTTAAAATAGTTTTGCCACTGATAACGTCTGGGAATTGAACCTTTCAACACATTTCTGGCTTCGTGCTATGAATGGCATTGACCTCATGAGCTAACCAAATACAGTATATTGGGGCATAAAACCCATATTAGAATGCAGTTTAATACATTAATTTCAGATGAACACTATCCATATTTAAATTAAGGGTGTTTAAAGAGCATTCATGAAATGTGCACAATTTAATATATATATGATAAACATCCTAACTATACTGAATTAAACCAATTAAGCAAAAATAACCATTAAAGAAAATTGTGCTTTATTTGAAATGGGTCATTTTCATCAAGGAATGCATATTCACAATTACGCAAGAAATTTCTCCATAGGGTATATTACCTTTAAAGGCTTGGATTCATTTCATTAGTGTCAACAAGAATTCATTATCATTTAAATATGATAATTGGCTATTCATATTTTTGTCAGTAATTGTGTTTTATAAATTGCAGGTGTTTACTTTGAATACATGCAAATATACTATACACAACATAAATGAATATTTAGGAATGTAATACAAGCACGTCATATGCACATAGTGAATACATAGCATGCTTCATTTCAAGTAGGTTATTTGACATTTAAAATGTCATACCTTCTGTATTATTGATTGCATGTATATTTCATTTTCTTTAAAATGTTACTTTTAAGAAACTGCACTTGAATGCGAATATATCATCACACCTACAGTTTGCATCTGATTTTAATTGTTCCAGTGCAAAATAAACATAACTTGGTTGAGTTCTTAAAACTAATCATAATAAAGCACATGGAAAATATTTGCCAATTATGCATTCATAGATTCTGCAGAGAAATGCAAATGTACCATGAATATGCAGTACTCTTTCGTGGAATAATTTGGTTTTAGAATTAATATACTGACTTGTAAAATCACTTATATAATAGATTATTGTAATTTCTAACTACCAAGCAATTTAGTTGTTTTAAATGCATTTTTTGTCACGTAAAATGCGGCATCTCTGTGTGTGACCACGTCGGCTTAAACGTGCTTAATATTATCCGCATGCTTTGTCATGCATTTTTTATATCCAAACAGCATATCGTGGGGGGTACCACTCTATATTTTATAACACGTGCCTCACTTCCCAAACAATGCACCAAACGGCTGTGATTTAACTGCTAGAAATGGGAATACTTTGCAAACACGACGCAGGCCCTCTAACTGACGGGTGTTAACACCTAGATGACCTCAGGCATAGAAAGGGCTGCCTTGCAGTGGCCCAAGGTGGGACGTGCCATTGTGGTGCAGCCACAGCAGCCACATCTGATAAAACATTGCCAGAGTCTCATATGCAAAGAAGAGCAGTCTAATTCAAATTACACATAATCTTTATTGACATTCCCAAATTGATAAATGTGTACCTTTACTCTGTATTGATGTGAATAATGGTGCTGTGGTGGTTAGCACACTGTCCAATGATCCCTGGCCACACACACCAGTGGTAATTGGTATCTGATTCTGCACAACACTATCCCTAGGTTGACTCAATCTTCAATTAATACCCAGTGCAATATGTCAAGATCAGCATCCGGTAAACAAAAATCAACACATAGTAGTGCGGACCACACCATTCTGGCCTAAATATGTGCAAAAGATTTACCTGTGCTAGAAATATTTACATACCAAATCAAACGAATATCTCTTTTCAGTTTAAGACTGGCATAACAATATGTAATAATCATTATTTATGTGTCCATACAGGCCTTACTTAGTCTCATGCCTTTTTCAGGAGGGTCCTGCTAGGATTTCCAGTATGGAGCGATGATGTGATGTATTTTCCCATTCGATTCATTTCCAATAAATGTTTCCAAATTTGAATCATGATGCCGGCACACATGGCCTACTCTTTTTAGAATAATGTCACGGATATTTGAAACAGATGGTGAAAATTTGGACGGTTAAAACCACACGCAGTACTAACCAGGGCAGCCGTGAGGTTTGAACCGTGAACATATGCAACAAACGGAAAACCCACGGCCTCTCGGCCGTGTCACCACCCCGATATGAGAAGACTGGACCCGTCAAGTCTTAGTCTTCTCCCTCTTTGCAACAAATGGTGCCTTGTGATGGCCTGCTGACCAGGATATTGTTCTAACTTTGACCAGTGTGGTCAAGGGAAACGCTTGTTAAGCTCCATACATTTTTATATTTATTAATTCATCAAGAACAGCTAATTGAGTCAAAAGTGTGTGAATTTGAATCCATTGATTATTACAGATGTCGAGAACATCCTCAATAACAACAGTTAGTTGCAAACCTAACTAAGCAATTATATATGTTTCATTGTTTAAAAATAAGGATCTACAATGTATATACATTTAGGATATGAAAATGTTTGCAAGAATTTTGCATTTGTAAACAGATCCCACAATTATTATTTGTTTACTTTATCCCCAAAAGCAAATATAGCCAAACAGCTCAGTCTAAATGTTATAGAAAACTTACACACACATACCTTACAACAATAACTGAATTAAATTCCTCAGTGTTTATAAATATAGTTGCATTGTACAATCACTGATGCTCTCCAAATTACCATATATAAACGTATGTTTCTTATGTATCTTTGAATAAAATTCAACATACATTCGAGGACAAATGTAAGGTAAACTTACGACATCCCAGAAAAACGACATCAAATGCCGACTAAATACCCTCAAGAATATCTGTTTAACATCCATTGCACAGATTTTTTTGTATTTATTTTATTCAGTAGATTCATTTACATATAAAATAGTTGACGACCGCATTCGTTGATTCAACTGGTAGTGTTCTAAATCACCTAAGTTGTTGTGTTAATGTTTTTTTTTTATTAAAGGCAACTAAGTAAAAAGGTGTTAAGTGTGTTCATGCTCAAAAGAGCAGCACCACAATGTGGTGTTGGTACTGAGCTAGTTATGGAAATGCACATTACTATTCTAGGGCCTCTGTAACCTCATTGCTTGTCATGCAAATGTAATGTATAATTAATTATCCGAATTTTTCCAATATGAATCAAACATTTTTAGTGAACTCAAATATTCCATAGCAACATTATTGTTAGACAAATATAATCTTCCACTAGGTCTCACTACGTGAACCATTTATATGAAGAAGAAGAAAACAAATCAGACACACAGCCACATAATCTTAAATTTCGTTACTTCTCCACATTCAGATAACTGGAGGCGAATAGCGCTAAAGCGCAACTGAAATAGAGCGTCAACACTTGTTTTCAATGTTGTGCATTGCTGTGCGACGTAGATCTGCACAAGAACTTTGAGATGGAGCCGCAGGGGAAGGAAGAGCCCCAAGGGCAAAAGATTCAACTGCATTGTCGTCCTCCTGATGCGGTCCCTCCTGCCGAGGTGACGACACACTTGCTTTCGGGGTTAAGCATTGCACCCACCCATGAGCAGATTGCAGCATAATTGTGCTGGCAGATTCCCGTAGGTTTGGTGGTGATTGTAAAGATTCTGTAAGCACAGCGCTTACTGTAATATGGCCTATTGCTTAGTGTAAAATAATTACGAACAACCGTTAACGTGCAATATCCTCTGCCTTATGCATGCGAACGAGCCATCTTCAAATTTAATAACTGTGCAAACATGACAAGCTCTCCGCTACTCTGTGTGAATGTGCAATGTGCTTAAATACAGTTAAAGATTTAAAACAATACTTTTTTTTCCAATCTGACACATTGCAGGGTCATGGCAGAGGAAAAAAAAATCATTGCACTGTCTACAAGTAATTAGTTTCACTTATCTGAAGTGCCAGATTAAATTGGACTGAATTAGCATTAGCAGGAAATGCATCTCGGTTTCATATTCCTGTCACATTCGTTCTGCTAATTCACGTCAGCATATGGCTTTCCTGAGAGCGATCTGTGGAGAAGGGGGACTCATTGACCGCCAGGTTACCGTGACTGTAGTGGGAAATTAGAAGGTAACTCTGACTTATAGCATCCTCTATTTCAAGCACTGTGCACACACGGAACAGACAGTCATTTCCAAGGCCTGCAAGAAATTCCACACAACTCGCAAAATGTGATTTGCCCTGTAGAATTGTGTGTTTTATAGTGGAATTGTACTTTATAATTTCTCTCTGTGTCTGTGTGTCTGCAGATATGTGTTTATAGTTTGTGCTAATGCGTGTATTGGTTCATATTTGTTTGTAAATTATTAATTGAGTTTTTGGTGGTGCATGCCATCAAAAATGTCCTTAAAATACAAGCCAGTACGGTAGTGCATGATTGTACGTGATGCATGGAAATTTTAATTAATTTTGGATGGAAATGATTGCATATTTGATATTACTATGCAAATGGTATGGAATTTTCCAACAAACCTAAATGTAAATTAATATTGCTATATTTTTCAACATATATTGCATTTACATGTCGACGTTTAGTTCAATACATTATAGTTGTTACCATTTCAGCCCTTGTGCGTGTGGCTTTGTCATGGGATGCTTTATATTTTACAGCATCTCTTTTAGCAACCGAACATATTTGCTAAATTAACAATAATAAGTAAACATTATTACTAAAATGACCATCCAAATATTTCTACAGTCGTAACGTTTTTTTTATGCTGCATCCAATTATGATAAACAGCATGCTTTGCTCACTCGTAAATTCACTCTTTAAAATAAATTATCGCCATCCCCATATTCTCACAGATAATGCACATTAAAAGCTCTATGCACGTTGTAAATCATGCAGCCGTACTTCACACTTGAGTTGCACGACTATAGATAGAGGGGGGGGGGCTCTTGATTAAAAATTGATGAGAAAACACTACATAGGCCATATTCGGAAGATGAAGGCATTTGTTATTTGCAATACATAGCGCCGCTTTGAAAATGCCAACGAAGCACACTGTCTTTGACACGAAGCCTTGACTTTTAACACCTCTACTGACAGTGGTACGCATTGGCATAGGTGACCCACATATAATAGTACTTGTTGGCTAAACATTTCTACTTGCTTTTCAACAAATCTCGACTCCCATTAAGGTTATTTGAGAATCAGATAATATAAAACTATCACAGAAACCTAACATTGGGCTTATTTTAAAGGCAATTTAAGCTAATCTTTCATGCATTTACTATGTAGTGAATTTTGTTTATTCACATACGGAGTGTTTGTGTCAATATTATTACGTGTAGGAGATGTTTTTTCCCAAGATTACATTATCACAAATTCTAGACTCTCTCTTGTGCACATAATTAAAAAAAACATTTTTAGGATTTTTAAATAGATATTCTTTCACTTCACAGGATATTTAAATTGACCCTAAAAATAAAACAATAAATACTGTACAGTATATGGCCCAAATATTTTAAATGCCTTGTTTGTTTATTCCTCACTGCAACCTAATTAGTTTTATGTTCCCATATATATGTCTAAAATTCACATATTTAAGTCAATTAGTGATTCGTGGAATTAATTTTATTTGATGTCTGTAGGGAAATGGTGGATATACCATCTTCGTATTGTGGGTTCATTTTCTACATAGAGTTCTGTAATATTGCCCTGTCTTTGTCAAATTGAAAGCGTACTGGAGACCAAGGTTTTCTGGCGATATCTCCAGTTATTAATTTGGTCACAGTAATAAATATTATTTCATAAATAAAAGGATTGCTGTGGAGCGGACACGCCAAAGCCAGTTTATGCAAAATCTTTCTACATTAAATAAACAGTTAAATCCTTGTCCTTATCCGCATATGGCTTTCCTAAGCTCTGTACATGGATCAGGCATTTCAAATAGTTAGATTAGATTTGGATGACCGGGTATCCCTTTGGTTAGCATGTCTGCCAATGAGTGAGCTCACAGTTTTTCATTCAATTCCTGCTCTGTCTGATCATTACTCCAAAGACTAACCTGATTGTACAGTACTGCCTTTTGTAAAGTGTGCATTTAAGGCCCTGTGGCAAAACTCGAAAGAGTGGGCCTTTTCTTGACAGTAGTATGTTCCAAATCCATATATATTATAACTAAATTATACAAAAAATATGATAGCTTTCTGGTTTATTGGGTCTGCTTAGCAAAAATGATAATGAATCTAAATGGGCTGTCACCTGGTTAAATAATGGGCAGCAGATCGAATTGCCTACCCTTTGCGTAGGTGTGGAAAGGACATTTACTGTGGATTCGCAATAAAAAAAAATTGGTTTGCAGGCAACGAGTGCATTATACCTCAAATCCCACAGCAGCGACATGCAGTTTTTCAAAAGACGATCAAATATAACACTTTGAATTGTTCAAAGATAATCAACATTTTCAGCAGGGGAGTTACTTTTCTTGCAGAATAAAGGAAAATGAACATCATTGGGCTCAGGTTCCAACCCAATGACGGATATCCTAACCGCGTCCTCATTCCCCGTATATTAGTCATAATGGCCACACACAAAGATCCGTATCAGCTTGCAGTGGCTAAAGAGGTTGTTAATGTTATTTGTTTTGTACAATGGACTATGACTTCATTGTATTCCATTATCAGTCTTGTAAACCTAATTTATTTCTAGTGGATCATCTTAAGACAAGGAAAAGTGCATTTCGAATGCAGTTTCCATTTAACATGAAATGATACATTTCCAGAGGGAAAAACGTAACCGATCCCAAATTACTTTAGAAATGCGATGCTGTAAGGAGTTGTATGATCTATGCACAGGTTGAATGGCTTAAGAATGAGATGCTCATCGACCCGGAGGAGGACTCGAACTTCCACATCACGGCGGACCACAATCTGATCATTAAGCAGGCGCGGCTGTCAGACAGCGCCAACTACACGTGCGTGGCCAAGAACCTCGTGGCCAAGCGCCGGAGCTCCACCGCTACTGTCACCGTGTACGGTAAGTGGTGGTGCCGCACGCATAGCACGTGCCTCGCTAACGCGACATTTAAGAACCTCTCTTTTTTTTTTTCTAGAAAGGTCACGCTAGGTCACGGGGTCAGCAACCTGGGGCTCCGGAGCCACATGTGGCTGTTTAAGGGACTGCTTTGTGATGTTGTTCACTAAGGACCACCACTGCCTTGTATTCACATGCATTGTGCGGCTCTTGAAATGTTGAGGTGTTTTTTTTTTTACCGAATTTGAAAAAAAAAGGCTGTTCTTGTTATTTTGGTTGCCGACCGTAGCACTCGGTGTATCTATGACCATTTAATAGTAGGTCCGGTCTGGTTCACAAACTGGGCCAGCTGGGCCAAGCCTGAATTCCCAAGGCGGGCCTCACCCAGCCAAGTGAGATCTAACGGGGGCCATGTGCTCTGCCATTTAATTTACTCTGCCAAGGGGACCACCCGCTTTTATCTGGGCAGCCTTTGGAAGCGGTTCTGATGTCATGGGGTCATTGTGGAAGAGACACACGCTGTAAATTGCGTCTCTCACATAGGTTAATATGAGCACCATTTTTTTTTAACTAAGAATATGGCCCTGTTTTAGATAGTGAATACAAACCGTACCATGTGTCATATCCTGTTTGAAAAAAGCTACAATTGCTACCCTCCAGCCGTGTAGGGGAAGGAGGAGGAGGCATGTATGACTGAAGGAAGAGGCTGAACCCATGGAACCACACATTCCATGAACAGCCCAGCATGACTCAGGTCTATATTTAAACTGTCATGGAAATAAGGCACGAGACTCCTGATCTGCAGTGCTATTATGTGGCAGGAGAGCAAGTAGGTTCATAAGTCATGTTATCTGCTTGTATTTGTAGATCTTCTCCGTTTACTCTGGTTTTCTGAAAACATTATCCTTAAACAATTGGCCAACTAATCCCACGTAAGGCCTTTCTGATCGAGAGGCTTGAAAACAAGATGAGCCTTCATGGTCAAGGGACATCACGATCATTAGTGCAGAGCCTCCAGACTTATGATAGTCCTGCTTTCAGATGTTACCGCTATTCCTTCGCGAAGGAAATCATGCTACCCACAAACAACACCTAAGAGAGTAGCACTGACGCTTTTAAAGTTATCGAAACAGACAAGCAAGCAGCCTACCCTCTGTGCTGTCATCTACTGACTGCCTATTAACCCTGAACGTAGGTGCCTCGTGAACATGCCGGTACTCATTTGATTACAACTGTGTACCGCATTGCCTATCTGTTGCTTTACATGTGGATTTCTGTTTGGCGATGTCGGATATAAAATCGCATGAAACAAAGCAGTCAGGTGGCTCGGGGGACTAATATCTTTCAGGGCAGTGAGCCAGCACTGCCGAGATCCCGAGGTTTGATTCACGAGCCTCCACCTGAGATAAAACTGGATTCTCATCACTTGTAACTCTATATATATATATATAAAAATCCATTGCATAAATTTGGTTTTGAATTTAATTTAGCTTTGCCCAACCCTGAAGGCTTATTCAGCAGATAGGCAGAGAGTGGATAACTCAGTCATCTGCACAACCGATGAGAGTGCAGTCCCGAGCAGAGCACCCTAAATGGGGTTAAGGAAGGGGTCCTGGCAGGAATCACAAACAGAGGCCTCGCATTACACTCACCTAAACATTTAATTAAGATAAACACAGTAAGATTCTGGCGGTTTATTCCTTTTAAAACAGCTTGGGAAATGCTGAACTCGGGGCTCTGGTAAGCTAAGTTGTTGAGTGAGATTATTTGTAATTTCTTACAAGTGCAAAACTAGTTTTTAATATATTTTACAATGTGCATTCAGAATGAAGAATTACAACAGAAATAAAGCTTTAAGTGATTATTTATTTTTGAATGGATACATACAATTTCACGTGGGAAATACACCCACTCATGCATGTGTAATCGTATTTACATTTTGCCAATCACAGGAATGTTTGAGTAGCGGCGCTATGGCAGGTGATATGTTAACGGGTCTGAGTCTCCCACTTCATGAACCTAGATTGACCAACGTCGTGCAGTATTGCCAATAATCCGCATGACCTACACAATGGCCTTCACCAAGCAGTGGATTTTAATTTAATCCGTGATGCCGAGAGATTAAATCCTGCCATGTAAATGTAGAATTTCTACCACTCATGGCCACTAACAAAGATGGATGCACACTATTGTTTGTTTGAGCAGAGATACACCACATTAATTTGTTTACTTTGATACACAAGGCCTAGCGGCACTGTGAGTTGTAGGGCTGAAGCAGCCCTACAACTCAGAGCACGGACAAAGGCAGTGTTAAACAAACTAATTAAATGTCAAATGCCAAACAAAATGCATATCAATATGATCTGCTTTTGTTTCCCTTGCATCCTGCTCGAACTCTCACCCTTGCAATGACACGACCCAGCTGTCGTGTTCGACGCTTATTGCAAAGGTTCACTGTTTGAATCCAGTGATGGTCCCGAATTAATATCATGCTCCTCCGTATTGTGCTAAAGAAGTTCAACATACATACATACTGCAGTATATAATAATCATAATAATGCTACGCGCTGTTAGCTTCACAGTAGGCATCGACTATCCTCAAATATGATTAACAAGAATAGGCCATAGCCGGGCAGTGGTGGCTATACTATTAACCTGTTCAGCGACAATTCAGCCACAAACAGTGGCTGAACGGGTTAATTATGATACTTGGTGCTATTCTATGTTGCTCATAATGCTGGCTGTTTTACACATTATTTTCCGATTATTTGTGATACGTTACGAACGATTAAAACGATTAAGTTTACTCACGTTTTTTTTAACTCGACAGCTATAACCCCCCTCTGGTACTATTTCTACATTAAGTATTCAACTCCTATTCTGAAGCACCAACTTCTGATTTTAGAGATTTTGCTGTGTAGATGTCTTTCCACCAATTTGAACGTGATGGCTGCAGAATGCACCATCTATCTCCATTGCCTGCATTGTATCCTGTTCCATCGCTCAATCTTTCCTTGACTTCTCATCACCCGTCTCCGTGGGAGTATGACTAATGCCAGTGTAGGGAAAAACTCGTGAAGCAAGTTATCTTGGGACTTCAATTTGCATCGTGGCTTGGGTATAATGTGTAGACTCCTATCTTGTGAAATAGTGCATTGTTTGTGCATTTTTTTACAGGTGTTTGGCATGAGATAGCAGAGTTTTTTGCAATGTGTCTGGATAACTCATTGTTTAAAATGCTTCCCTAGGCTGATTATTTATCAACCCTGTGCAATGTATACGTGATAAATATTAAGCCCTGCTATATATATGTGAAACTTGATCAAGGAAACAGAGGTTAGAATGTCTCAAGAATTTCTTGCTTCCACATCGCCATGCACAATAATGTATAATAATTTGTCCTCTTTATTATTTAATCTTGCAGATAACATTGATAATCAAGAGTAAATATATGTCACCATATGCTTAGATCTATGCAAACATGCAAATACGCAGATGTAATTGTAATTGCGATGGTGAAATAAACGTGTTAAGAAAATAACATCCTTACTTCCTCTAATAACAGCTTTCTATTTGGTTGTATGAATAATTTAGACGAATCACACGACTATAATTGAAATGATCATAATTGCAATATTTGTCAGGTCAGACCGTTTAACTTGTATTTTCACAATTACAGTGTTTACTTATTTTCCAATGAGAGGATTACATTTGCATTTAGTGATAATCTGGAAGGTGTATGTGTGGGTTAGAGGAGCTACTCAAATATGCTGAGGCTGTTTAGCAGCGAAACGGATAAATAGTGCTAATGCTGCTGTACAGCAACAGCGTTAATGCATTGCATCAGCTCCCTGTGGAGACTCGCACTAAGGTTGGTGGAGGCTTTAACGTTCAGTCTGTATGGGTCACGTTGAGCAACCGACACTCTGATCAGAAATGGAAGGAAGGTTTCATGCAATCACCTAATGCTGAGATTCTTCCCAAGATGTTTTGGGTAAAACTAGAGTTGCGTCGCTTGAAGTGTTATGCTTTTTAAGCAGCATCGAATAGCGACTTTATACACCAGTGAACATGCCATTGGCATGATGCAAAGTGGCAGGCATGCGAGACAGCGAGATGCGAGATGATAATATGCAAGGCAGCGCTGATATAAATGAAACAACCTACTCCATCCTGGTAAAATATGGATGGGTTCCATCTGAAGGTGCGGTTGCAGCGCAAATATTGTCACCACCATTCCATAAATGGCAATCCATTGCATCAAGATGAAACAGCACACGAGCTTGGAGCATATATATAAGCTGGGTTGGAAGGGGGGGAAAGAGCGTGGTGGTTTTAGTTATTGCAGCTACATACTATTAACACTCCTTCCCTTTATTAATGCTACCCCTATCCCCTCCCTTTGATGCTGCGATTCCTGCATAATGCACGGGCATAAGTAGTACTATTCACATACCTGCATTTCCCATATCCCCTCCCTTTGATGCTGCTAATCCTGCATAATGCACGGACATACGTAGTACTAATCACATACCTGCATTTCCCATAAATATGCTAAATTCCTCTTGATATGCAAATTTATGTTGTCAATGCGCTCTTTCCCCCCCTTCCAACCCAGCTTATATATATGCTCCAAGCTCGTGTGCTGTTTCATTCAGATGCTGTCGCCTCGACAGACCTGGTTTTCACTTGAGGATGGCTGCTTGCGTTGTGGCCGAAACGTCGTGAGAATTATTTTATTATGTTTTATTTTTATTATTTTATTACTTCCCTTCTACGTGACTTTACTGAAAGAACCAAGAAGATGAATCCCTGCAGTCACGAAAGCTTTAAATCGAAATTGCCTACCTTATTACAGACCAATTGAGACCGTATTGGTCACCCCGTGCCCTTATAAATATCAACGTTCATTCTACAAAGTCCCATCACAAGGGAAAAACATAAACAAATAGACAAAACACATTATGTTTACCCTATTGAAACGGCTGTATGCCGTACGGACCTGAAAACTCAATTTCCCTTCACAAAAATACGGGTAAACCATATCGGTTGACAGGTATGGGCACTGTTGGTGGAGCAAATTACTCCGAATAAGACGTTTGTAAGTTTAAAAAAAATTCAGGGGATGACTGAACCCATTATCCTTCTGGGGTTCATGAAGTAGTATCACGTTGGGGCAAGTCAACATTGGTTACTTATGAAGAGACCAACCCCTCACATAAGGCGGAATATTTTGCCGATTTACCCATTTACATAGGAATGTAGTATTGAGTATTTGCCTTTGGATTACTATGATGTGTGAGATTTATAAGAAATACCTGTTCCTGGAGATGGCTGGTTGGCTTTAAGGGATACGGCCCATATCAGAGGGCTTATTCAACTCCTTTGAGACTTTTGAACCATTTCAAGGCACTCACACGTGAAGCTCTGCGTGTTAGCTGATACCAAGCAAAGCGGCCAGGAACCTTATGAGAAGTAAGCACTGTGATCGCATCACACCACACCCAACTAGTCTCCATTGGCTGCCTATCCAGTCAAGAGTAGCATACAAAATCTGCTTCCCTTAACAGCATTGGTCCTGCATACCACAGCGATCTACTAACTCCGTATGCTCCAATGCAGCACCTGATATTCTCTGATTCTGGTTTGCTTGTTCGTCTTATGCTTAAATATCTTTCAGGTATAATGCACCCCTTCTCTGAGACTTGCTACCAGTAACTGTTAGAGAGGGCACTTCTATGTTTTTGAAGTATAAATTTGAGATGCCTCTGTTCGCTCTAGCCTTCCTTTTGTAGCATGACTACCCATGTCATATTTATTACAGATCCACGATCTCTGTTCCGCTCTAGTTTATTTTGTAACCTGTATTGTCGAGTTGATCATTTTTCTTCCGTAAATTACACTCGTTTATAGATACTTGTAGGTGCGTTTATAGATTGTTTTTTTGTACTGCAACCTTACCCTTGGATTATTAAAACCTTATAAAGTAATTTTAGGTGGCAATTCCTATGATAAGCTGCTTCATAAAATGAAGTTGAAGTGAATTGAAATATAACGTTTATGCAGGCATCAAACACTAAGGATGCTTGTTTCTTTTATAAACCAATGTGACAAAATCCAAATTTGAACACAAGTATTATGCCTCTCTCCTATGCAAACCAAAGGCCTGAGTCCCATCATATTATTTCTTTAGCATTTGACATATCTAATCTAGTGTGCCTTAGCAGCGTTATACTTTCCATAGCTCCTTTTAACAAAATAGTAATGTTATTATAGTCAGGCATCATTATTATTAACAAAGTATATCATATGTTACGAACGAAACCATGTGTTATATGGTGTAAGAGAGAAATACAAATTATATATATTTCTCCAATCTGCCAAGTCAAGTTATATCTGTATTTTATTAAAGCCGTGTGAGGTGGCAGTATCAATTTTACATTGCACCAAGACAGACGTGCGATTACATCCTGAAACATAATTGGCAAAACAACCTGGTCGTGTGCCTTTGCTCAAAATGTAACTTCTTTTCAACCACATGAGTGGCTTTTCATCGAGGATGCTAGGCTCATGGAACTCAGTTTAAAGCCACGGATTCAGAACAATTGGTCCCCTCTCGCAAGGACTTTATTTAATGAATGATGGATAGGCCTTTCCTCACTTTTTCAGAGATTTTCTGCAGTCACCAACGAAGCCTGAAGATCATAAATAACTGGGAAAAGAAACGTGTCAGCAATATTTTACAGCAGGCATATGGCAATGTGGTTATTTCATGACAGGTGCTTTCAAATGCCTTCCACCATTCTTTACCAATGTCTTGTTCTCTAAAGTTATGTGTAACTGATAATGGAGGCATTCTGCAAAGTTTTTTTTCTGGAAACATTAAGCGTTCTGTTAATGTAACTGGGCCTTGGTACAAGGCTTGGGATTTGTGTTTGATTAAGATCATGAGTTTAATTGGTATACACCATGCGGCATCCATTTGCAGACATGTAGATTTTCTGGTTGGTTTCTTACTTATGTTTTACTTAATCTCCATTTAACATGCGTTCCAAGAGAGATAAAATGGGTCAGATTGCAAAGGAGGAATAGACTTTTGCCATCGAGTGAGATGCTGCAATGCTTCAGCAAATGCATTGCATCACGTGTCACATTGTGAATCAAATGCGATTTAAAAAATGGTAATGGAGGTAGATGTTGGATAATGAAGTGTGCTGTGACACTATGGCAAGTGGCGTTCGTACGATGTAGATGAGGACTCTTCCGCAGGTCATCCTACAACAATTATGATCAGTCGTTTTCATATAAACTCGAAACAGTGAGTACACAAGGGCTCTAAATGGTGTATGCAGTTATTTATATTCGTGCCACACTTTAGATTGTATCTGTCAGATGAGAATGGCGTGAAGATGAATGGAATTGTCTGAAATTTGCAATGATAACATTAAAATGACCCATGAAAAAACATATTTTTATGGCATTGAAAGAAAAACTTGCGCATTTCCATTGGTAATCGAGGCAATGTTCACATTTCTCAGTGGATCCTGTGCAAAAAAAGAGGCTTTAATTTGAGGACAGTGAACATTTGAAAGAGTTAATTTTCTGTTTGTTTGACAGCTAGTCATATAGCATGTCACAACGAGGCAGAAGGTGTAACTATTACATTCACACCAGCCTCACAAAGCTGTATGCTCCTAAATTGAACCAGGGTTCGACTACATGGATATCAATAAAATAGTAAATTAATATCTGTGTATGGATTCGTCCGGAAATTGTTATAACTTTTTTAACAACTTATTTTGATTCATTTGTGGTATTATTTGATTTAATTCACATTTTGTCAATGTAATGAAGTTCATTGAACATGTAAACATTTACATAATTAAGCATTACACCAACACTCCATTTTATTTACCTATAATTGCCATTAGGCATTTTCATTTGGACTCCTTTACAGCTCAATATAGATATGAGTTGCACTGGCAAGCTATCAGAAAGAAAGAATATCGTCTTACATTTGTAATTCTGCATAATTCAATATTCTGGTTTTGGGCATGACCCTGGTATGTATAGGCTATAACAAAGTTTAATGAATCACATCCACACGTAGGAAGCTCCTCCCATTTAACCTACCATATCCACCATCCATGTAGCTCTATATCCTGAAAATAAAAACAACACAACCTGCAAAAGCAGGCTCTTTTTTAAAACAGAGCCGCCAATAAAATTGATCCATGCCACAAAATTCCACACACGTGGGCAACTTCTGTTAAACGAAGGTTATATTTTTATCGCCCTTAATGAAGGTCGGCATATGCCGTATGTTTATGTTCAGTTCATTGCACCGGGTGCCTGTGTTGAGTTATGGTGCTATATTCCCCTCTATACTGATGGGATAGGTTGACATCACCATTGCTACGTTTACTATCTACAGCAAATAATACGAATAATTTACAGCCTCTTTTAAATGCACTGCGGGATGAAATCCTCCCTATTCCATGTCAGTTACGATGGCTTTATGATCATATGTTGCCACGCTAGTTAGCATGGGTCGGTGATGGGGAGTACCCAGAACGAGTTGACATATCACTGCCCACTGATGTTGGCCATGGTTGGGAATTGAACTCAGGTCACTGGGTTGAAACGCAGTGTGCTCACCAACGTGCCAACACACTCCTTGCTCAGTTTAACACGTAAGCTTTCGTGACCAATATTCATAATACAGGTTTTTTTGTGTTAGATTGCGTAAATATATAAATGTGTCATTAAACTCGCCACCACCCGACACAGCCAGGTTTGTCACGTAAACGTTCTGTTTACTTCACAAACCTTACTCTTTGGCTGTGTCGGGTGGTGGCAGGTTTAACGACACATCTATACTCTCCTTGCCGTAGCCAGAATTTCCCCGACGTGAAGCCCAATGCCAATCCACGGCCAGAGAAGGGCCTCTACACACCATGGAGGTTATTTGACCAATCTTCATACAACTGGCTAGTACTGGTTGGTGAAGATGATAAACATGCTTCTTTGTAAAACCTTTAATCTGTTCCATTTTATTTGTCATTGTCCAAGTTTATGATTCATATGTCGTAGCATGGAATATGCACTGATTGAATAATGCTCTTCCTTATAAAATCTGATTTTTCAAAAGCACCCCAACCTGCTCATTAAACTAAGCAACACAATATAATTGGAAAGATATAATAGTTTGGAAAGAAGATACCCTCTTCGTGGCCTACTAATTTTCAAATAACGTGACGGGATTTTTAACGTCCACTTTGAAGCATGCAGCATTTATTTCATGGTTAATGAAGAAAATATAAATTATTTCAAATTTTCTGCTGACATAGTAAAGATAACCGATGGAAACGAACAAAAGAAAATGATTAAACAATTTTTACAAATGAGCCTGAAAAATTGTGAAGATAAATGACAGTTATCTATGTGAAGTATATGTTGTATGTTCTCCACCTTTTCTGAATGGTTTTCTCCAAGTTTTCTGGTTTCCTTCCTAAAAAACATGTAAAATGGTATATGTATGTATTTAGAACTTCCTCTTGCACCATACCTAGCCAACCAATACGCGGAAAACGTCCCAACACTGAAAAATTACGTGTAAATTGCTCAATTGGGATTACACCTAATAATATCGTCCCATACTGCAACAATAACACATTTGGCAGGACTCTCTTGAAAAAAAGTCTTGAGACTCAGTCAGGTTGTCCTGGTTAAACAAGTATAAGAATAAAATACAGAAAAAAGTTAGGGTTGTTGTAAACACACCTTCAACACAATCGGTAAGCGTAGCACGTTTAGAATGTCATCAGTTGTCGATGGTGTTAATTGAACCTGCATGTTTGACTTTCCTCGCCAGTGGAAGGGGGGTGGTCCCTGTGGAATGAGTGGGCGCCCTGTAACAGCAAGTGTGGCCGCGGCATCCAGAAGAGAATCCGAACCTGCACCAACCCGGCCCCTCTCAACGGAGGGCCCTTCTGTGATGGGCAGTCATCAGAGAACACGCCCTGCACATCAGCGTGTCCTGGTAAAATATGGGCAGTTGCTATGATGATTAAGTAAAACAGTTTAGTCGGCTGGTGGGACATCGTGCTCCCCATTTAACTAATTGTTTGATGGCCGTATATGCAAATATATTTTGTGGTGAATTGCTAGAATGTGCTATTTGCTATATAGTCAAAAATCTAAAGTCAAAGTGTCTCCCTGTCAAAACGAGTGAAGGGCGCTGCTCAGCTTCATTGGTGAATATTTCACATTCGTTTGACAGGGACTTTACATCCATATTACAACCACTGTTGAGTTATGACGAAGCTGTGCTCATTTTGTCAACCATGAAGGAATGTTGGACTGTTATGGTGGATGTTAAATACTCTCTCTGATACTTTTTAAAATATGAATTCATGTTGTGGTTTTTTCAAATGTTACAACTTTTCACACATACAGTATCACATTTTATGAACGTATTATATAGGCAGATGAACAAATATCTGCATATGCCCATATGTAACATTGCTTAATCTGGGTGGTATTTTCAACACAATTATTACATTTTTTGGTTTATTTCACAGGAAAATGTCTATCTCAATCGTATGCGTTCACACATTCCAAATACAATATTAAATTAAAGGTGTTTAACTCTCGTTGTAAAATGTCAAATTAACATCAATAGCCAATGTAGTTTGTACAAAATCGCTATTGAAAAATTCCCACTTTATAAAATAGCGAAAAGGGGAGATTCTAATGTGCATCAGCAGCACATTCTGGTGGCCCAATCGAAGTGATCAGCATGATACTCGTCAAGCACGTGAATGAATACGTTGATTTTAATAACATTTATGTTAAGATACAAAAAAATTCAATATCTCTACAACCCAGTGCATTTAGGAACTAAGCGTTGCTGAAACTTATGTAACTCACACCTGACAATGTTTTAAGGAGTCTTACAATTTGGTGCAAAGTGCCGGGGGTACCAACAGCCCAACTTAAGCCACTTGTCAAAGATCTTAAGAGTAGCAGAAGGAACGTCCCAAGCCATCCTGACTAGCTCATGTGTTAATTATGATAACAATATTAATATTTTAATATAAATAATTGAACCAATACTATTAATAATCGCACATCTTCAGCATCTCGCCCTTGGGCACATCAAGGGACATCAACAAATGAACTGAACAAGTAAATGTACGGCAGTTGTGATGAGCAAAGTACACGAGGGAATGACCAAAGGGAACAGTGGCACAATGACATTAGGGCTACGCAAGATTGACATCATATTTCAGCTGCAGATGAGCGTGCACATTCGCGTCAGCGAGATGAGGCAATCAACCGGCAGTGAATTGCCAATGGCTTCTGCAGATGAAACCCCCTGAGAAATGAACACACATGAACTGCAAACAATTGTGCATTATATATCCGTTTTGCACCAGCCCTCATCATCTCTTTTCGAATGCATCAATTTATACATAATGCTATATTTATGGCACACAATGTAAATTTCAGCACGAGCCACGTTTAAATGAACCCAGGGTAAAAGGCCCGCAGATGATCTCACGATATGATTAACATGTCATAGCCACAGTGGCATTGTCAGCAGGAATGCAAAACTGTGTGCTATAAGATCTCAACCATCCCCCATGGGGTTGTAAAGAATGAGATAAATATAGCGAGCAGTGGTCAAGAGGCCTTTGCTGTGCTTTAATTGAGTTTAAACGCACGTCTATTTTGAAGAAACATTGTGTAAAAATTGAAGAGAGTATTGTGGCTAATTAAGTCATATTGCATTAAATAGTTTGTGATGTTATGTTGTATTGTATTGCCCTGTGTCAAATTATGATTTTGACAAGACTAAAATTATTGATGTTGAAGCAGAACAAATTGCAGTTGGTGAAAAATTTGGATATAATTCTCATCCTGCTGCTCTTGGTTGATTCATTGACGAACTAATTTTTTCTGTACCAACCTCGATTTAATTAATATTTTTACTAACTATAATAAAAAAAATGTTGATGGAGCAAAAACATCAGGTCGAATTAATCATGTGAGCCTGCCACATCGTGTTGAACAATTCATTAAAGTCGCTGACCAAGCAAATCAAATGCGGGGTTGAAAAGATAGCACACATCTCTCCTATCATTTGGGGACGATCATATCTCTGTATGTTCTGTACTCATGTGTTGTGTGCAGAGTGCACACTCCTGTCGGTGTTGTCTTATTTGTTTTTTTTGTCTCATAAATAATTATTGGGAGTGCTTTTTAACAAATGCACATCAGCTAACATAGTTTCTCAACAAAATCATAGAACACAAATTCTGCGTCACTGTTAAACGACCCATTTTCCAATGGCACTTTGGTCAAGGTCTAAAAGTCATCATTGCCTGTGCCACTAATAGTACCACACTATGCCATTGCTTTCTTGCCTCTGCCACATCTCACATTGTGAGCAAGGTTTTCGCTTCCGGTATCCGATCATGTGGCTTTAGATGTTCTGCTGGATTGCCGATATCTGTTTGCCCCTCCAATCAACATTAATTCCTCTATCCCATACACATAATTTGCATGTTTGACTTCGTGGCTAATATATTCATCCATAGCATCATCTTCTTTTGTCTTGAGTATTGCAACTAGATAAATCCCTCAACCCCAAACATCAGATTATTGGAAAATATCTCACAAGCTTCCTCAACCCCACTTGTAAACTAAACCTCGTCATCCTCGCCCTCACATGAATTCACTGGCCCTCAAACTAATTCCACATAAGCGACACGTTCATGGACTTATCCCTGCATGTCTCTCCCCTCGCACATCATTCTACTCAACTCTACATGTCCTCTATTCCAACAATCAAGGCCTACTATAAAAACACCAAGTCAGCTTCTCTGGTGCTGTTAATCCTACTCTATGGAATCCTCTACGTTCTCACCATCTACATAGCTATCTCTAGCCTGCTTTAAAGTCCAGGCTAAAAACCTTCCTATTTCTCTCAGCCTATGACTGTGTCAATCTATCGCAATGTACTATTCAGTCCAAATGTCCTCTCCCCCCCTCCATTACCCTCCCATTCCCATAACTCCCCCTTTCACCCTTTTCCCTCTGTACCCCGACACTACCACCCCGTGAAGTCAGGTAGCCCGCACTCATAAAATGGAGGTGTCACCCATGTGACACCACTCATTCAAGGTCGCCAACAGATGAGCCGACCACACAGTGGTCGTTTGAGCAGGGATACATGTTTGCTTGCGATAGTTGAACGCTTTGCCTTCAATTACAGTTAGATTTTTAACAAATTTCCAAATTAAATAAAAATGTAGGAAGGTTAATGCTATTAAAAGTAGCATAATTGCTTTAACACAACTCTCCTTTCAAACTTCAAAGTGACAGCGAAATTTAGGTCATTTTCATGGTAACATTTACATAATATCAATACTGATATATTACAAGCTATACATCATTGTTTGTTGATTAGTTTTATATTGTAAATTATTTATTTATCTGCTTACTCATTGCGATTTTTTAATATGAATTTTCCTTTGGGAAAATGATTTAATCAACTGCAGTGCTGCCAGCACAATTTGGATGCATGTTAATGTTGGCTCGGAGAGACAGCCGCTGATAATTTCTTTATACTCGTTAACGCATTTGATTACTTTCCTTTCATCACAGGATCGCGAAATAAACATTTGAGTAACAAGTACTAGCCGTTATTATGAGCATCCTTTCATGAATAAGTATCTCTCATTGAGTGTAAGCAGGATATTACACCTAAAATGCTAACTAGAAGATGAACTAAATAATAAAATACAATTTAAATTAATATAGCATACACATGTGAATACACCTCAAGAAGCTGTATGGAAACAGTGGGAATATTTATTTTATAGAGAGAGGAAGTCGTAGACAGAGAACTACATGAAGACTGACTGTATGCGAGCGATGGCCACAGACTCCACAGCATGGATGGCTGGGGGAATGGAAGTTCCAGACCGCCAAGGGAAGCATAGGAGAAACAGCAACTCCCCTCTTCCCACTGAGTAGAGGTTGGCTGGGAGCTTGAACAGAACGGCTTGGTCGGCAGAATAAGGAGAGTGTGGGGGGAGTATTGTGGGATGAGAGGTAGGCAGAGGCATGGAGGATCTTGAAGATGGCGAGAATGATCTTTAAATGTATCCAGAATTGTATTGGGCGCCAATGGAAGGAGTTAAGTATTGGGGTGATGTGGTCTTGTTCATGGGTGTGAACGAGAAGTCTGGCAGCAGCATTTTGTGCATCGCCTGAAGTTTTAGAGACGAGAGATTTGTGCGGTGGGGGGGGGGGGCAAAAAGTAGAGGGAAATAGTCGAGTGGAGAAATGATGAAGGCATGGGATGCTGGTCTCAGTGGTAGCTGGGTTAAGGAAATAGTGGATGTGGGGGATATTGGAGATATTCTGCAGATGAAAGAATTAAATGTCATGGAGGATTAGAATGCCTTTACATGCATTACCAGGCTCAAGCCTGCATAGACAACAACGGGCTTCACTTGATCATGTTAGACCATTTTATTCACACTGGGAGAATGAAAGTCTCTGTATTCTGATTGTGTGAAGCGCAATCTGTCCATTGCCCATTATATGCGTACATAGCATTATAGATGCTAAACATTGAGCAATTTATTGATGCTATCGAATGGATTACCAACTCAACATACAGTTAGAATTTTTTGCTCTTCAAATGTAATTTCCCAGAGAGAATGTTAAGTTAAAATTATATATATCGTATGCCACATGTTGTGACTAGGGCAATGCATGTGAGTGAAGAGTAGTTGTGTTTTGCTTTGTTGATGTGGTGTCTTGAATGTTTGCGCAGTGATCGTGTACTTTGCTGAGGCACGGCTTTCTGTGGGTAGTATGCCGTGTTGTGGATCATAGTATAGTGACTTCCTGGGTTGGAGCTGGGTTTTATATTCCCGTGCGATTGGTGACACAGTCACCATGTGCTGTGCTGAAGCTGGTTTCTCGCCGCTCATTCCATGTTATCAATGTTGGCGCAGTGACCCCGTGCTGTATAGAAAATGAATGTTCCTCTATGCACCCATTTGCACAAGTCATAACGCCATTCTGTGCTGTGTTCCGCGTGCCGTGTCGTCGTCCCGTCTGCTGTGCTGCGTGCCGTGGCAGTGGATGGCGGCTGGGTGGAGTGGAGCAAGTGGTCGACCTGTGGTCCCGACTGCACCCACTGGAGGAGCCGGGAGTGCTCCAATCCGGCCCCCGTCAACGGAGGCAAGGATTGCCACGGCTCTCCACTGCAGTCCCAGAACTGCTCCGACGCTCTCTGCATACAGAGTGAGTACTTCACCAGTGCATGGTTCCAAAATAAAATGCACAGTGTATACTGTATATGTGAAAGGATTCAGCTGACACCATGTTCAGTAAAGGTCTCTTTATTTGATGACCCACACCGGTAACGTCTCCGTCATACGGCAGGTAACAACACCAGGGTTTCATCACCCCCCCTCCAGAACTCTCTTCTCTTCTCTGGCTCCCCCCTTTTAATCCCCTGGTCCACATTTCTTGCCAGTCAATTATTGCCTGTGGCTTTGTACCCGAAGATGACTCACTGACCAAACATGTCTGAGTCTTTCTAGATTTGAAATTTTCGTGACTGCAAGGATCCATAGTTTTTTTTTTCTGAGTCTAATACTAATATCTGATTAACTGGCCAGGTGCCCTAGTGTCCTCATTCTTTGCCAGTCACACATTGTCCAGGGCTTTTGTCCCAGGTTATCATTAACTGGTCAAGTGTCTCCCCGAGTCTCCAACATTTATATTATTATTCGATGGCAAGCGTGGGAGAGTCATCACTAACCACTCTGTAAGAGTCAGGACAAGTTTGTATCATCACTGATAAGGGTTTGCTGCCCAAACGCATATTGTCTGCCACTCTCTTCTCTTTGGGCATCATTCTGATGCATTTATTCTCTCTCATTCCTATGCCATACAACACTGCCTCAGTAGAAACACAGTGATGCGTTCGCACGTGATGTATCTTGATCTCCCTCTTGCTCGTATCGACTGGTTTGCCTTTTACGCATATGTACATGATTGCTATTTCAATAAAACAATGTCAGTTATCTACATTTCAAAATAAACCTAGATATGCATAGCACTTTTTTAAAAATGCATTTATATATTTATTTTCGGCAAAAGCAAACGCTGAAAAACAGACTGACTACACAAAGGGTTGCCGTACACGGTATAAATGTACGGATAAATGGACCTAAAGACACCTCAAGAAACGCCCATAAATGTGATGAAAAGCAGTAAATAGAAAAAGGACAGAGAGGAGGGAAGAAAGAAGAGAAGAGTGACAGGCAGAGGGGTTCACAATGGGGTAAGATGATCAAACCAGAGCTAGGCCAACATGAGCAGAGCAACGTGCTGCAGATAGAGAAGGCAGCGAGCCCTGCGAGAGAGCAGCAAGGTTTCCCGGGTACGGCATCTCATGCATCGGACTTCCGGCCAGCGTTCAAAGTGGGCAGACGGTGATCTTCTCAGTGGCTCAATTGTTAGCGTGCCAATGAGGCGGAACAAGGCCGTTCTCAATCATACGCCAGGGATGGTCAATCGCTGCTCAACAAATGCCCATGAGGCACGCATGAATAGCGGTCGCACCGATGTCGCAAATAAGTCATTGAGGTAATGGTTGATATCTCGACACACAGGGTTTGAAACTTCGGGCAGAACTAAAAGGCAAACCGTTCGAGTCAGTAATTTTCAAACTTTCAAACGTATACTGTGATGCTGGTACACAACGCTTACTTTTAGAATGATATCACAGAACCTTAACTATCTAATACACAACAGATCGTACATCTGAGTGTATGTTTGGGGCACTAGTGAAAATCACCTTTCAGACACTGAGCAATTGGCTCTTTAAACGAATGTGCTAAATGTTGGGCTATGCAGCTATCTCACGAAATTAAAACACCTCACTGCTATCGTTGTTATCCACGTATGACGACTATATGTTCAGCAAATTCACGTGTTTTGCAAATTACCTTTTCTTACAGCGGTGAGAGAGGACAGTTATACTAGTTTCACTGACAGTTTAAGACCATATTGCTGTTGATTTTATTTTCACTTGTTTTTCAAGACCTTAATCTTATTCATGAATTCTAAAAAATAGTTGATTAGGTTTCTATATGAAGCGCATGCATGTACACATGCGGTTGCACACATGCATGAGCAGTGCGTTCTCAAAAAATAAATTGTCTTCTTTGCCGGCAGTATTCGATGGATTTCTCTTTGTTCGGCAATTGACCTGCACCATATCTCATACATATTTGCCTTAGCAACTTCTAGCTTTAAATAACACCTCCCTTCACAATTGTCATGGGTATTGAATGCACAAACAGGTCCCGGCAGATGCAATAATTCAGATTTTTGTCAGTCCTACTGGAGACACCCCTCCTGTGGTGTTGTAGTAGCTTTTAATGAGCTGTCTAACAGTAATGCATGCTGACATGTGGTCTTGGGGATTCTGTCATCTGCCAGCCAGCCCACAAGCCTATTATTGATGGCCCAGCAAGGTGGAATCAAACAAAACACATTTCAAAGAGTCATCAATTTAGTTCTGTTGATACTGGGTAGTGTCAACTGTTGTGTACGTCTCTCTTAACAATAAAAGTGTGGCTTGTTTGAAATTATTTTCAAGCAACTTTACTGAAGGTTTAATGCGGCAATTTACGCAAACTAATATAATCACACCTTGAAAAGCGTTAATGTAAAAATCTATTTTTTAATTCCCTTATTCATGCAATGTTACTATAAAAAAAACAGACAGCAATTATCTGCTACTTTAAGCTTAAAGGTGTTGTCAAGCTAAAGTTAACAAGGCATCACTAATTTATTTATCAAGTGGTGTGGGTTTTGTGCAGTGTTGATTAGAACTAATAAATAATCAACATAATTGCAGGGTGTTCATTCATGAATGTATTTCAAATGTATGCACACTTAAAGGATGGACGTCTTCTTTGTGTATTGCATATGTTTGTCGGCTTTGAATATATTTAAATAGTGTTCGTGTTGAGCTGATCAAGATGGCAGTGCACATTCTCTTGTTACATTTAGCAACAATCATGATTATTCAGAAAACCATCAAGTGAAGAGGGTCATGTTCAGGATTTGTAAAATTACTTACCGAGCATTGTGGCAAATGCGAAAAAACAGGATGCTTTGAGAAAACACATTCATTCAAAGTGCTAAAGGCTAAAGCTGCAGCCATCCAATGGCTTGCTCTTTCCACTGCTGGTAGAAGGGCGACTACTTTCAAGGGAGCTCTGTGAGAGGCGCTTTATAGGCTATTTTTCCTACTCTTCTACGCTGGCCGAATGTATTTGAAGAAAATTGTAATTCCAAAACTTTACCGCACCATGAACGATATCCCAATCGACCAAATGTTGTGTACCCGTTTATACTGCTGGGTGGACAGAGGCGGCCTTGCACCATCGTTTCAGCTGCTGCACTGGGAGAAAGAAACAGCAACCTCTGTATTGCAACATCCAGTGTGTTAACCATTACACTCCAGTACAATTCACAGGGATAACACTTAAATGTGCACGCAGGTGCCAATAATCCATTTGAGATGCGAGTTTTGTCATACGATACTGTATCTGCTTGATCCACGCACCTTGATTCCAAAGCGCTGTGTTACACTAGCGCGCGACTGCACTCAGAATGTTGTCAGCAGTTATTTCATTATTTGCGTGTGTGTGTTTTACTCACACGTTAAACACATTTTATTCATTTAAATGTGCATCGAAAAATACAGAATGTGGCATGAAATATTTGCTTGCATTTAAATTGCTCTTCCGATACACCGTGCACACCTGTACATTACTTTGTTGGGACGCCATTAAGCATATGCAAGGATGTTAACTAAATATCTGATAAAATATAGTTTCTTAATAAAAATGTAGTGAGTCCAACTGAGTCGCAGACGTTGTTCCTTTTAGAGACAACACATTTATTTGTAACACCGTAACACAAAGGGGTAACGGCCCCTTCACCCGATACAGCCTAGGGTGGTGACCACCCAAATAACTACGCTATACAGAGGGGTTACTGCGACGAAGGGTCGGATCCTCACTCGGGTCTCTGACCACGTGGTTGCCTCGTAAGACGAAGAGCTTCCGGCTTGAGACGTAGAACTTCCCGCTTGTCGGTGTTGAGCTTCCAGCTTGTAGAACAAAGAGTCCCCGGGCCCTCTCTGGGACCCGTCTTATATCCCCCTACGGTCCCGGCCGCTCTGCCCTCGGCCCCGCCCACCTTCTCGAGCATTCTCATTCCCTCTCGATCCTTCTCCAGAGCTCTCCCCGGACACGTGATCACCTACTAGCCCCCCCCACCTGGGGCCCCCTGTGTGGACACTCCGGATCACGTGTCTACTGGGTTAACCAGAGTGCCATGGCCCGGGGCAACCCTGCCCCTGAGCTGACACTCACCCACTTCCCCGCGTGGGAGCCCCCACCACACGCTGTGCGTGGTGCCCGCACTATCCCAGTGCTCACCAAGCCCTGCTAGGGCAGGTATTACACACAATCACCCACACGGTGCTGTTCACGATGTAGGAACATCGAACGGCACGGCCCTTCCGGGCCGGCACCATACAGTGACATCCCTGATGTCACTACATATATATATAAACTGAGCACCAGTTCTTCTTGGTTCTTTCGGTAAAGTCACGTAGAAGGGAAGTAATAAAATAATAAAAACATAATAAAATTATTCTCACGACATGGTGCAGTGTGCAGAGTAATGTATGGTGTCGTAATTGTATAGTAAATATATAGTAAATATATAGCAGTGTGATACACATTAGGGTGGGTAGAATAATACATAGTGTTATATTAAAATGGATAAGGCAGCAACTGCAGCAGCAGCAGCAACTGCAGCAGCAGCAGCAAATGCGGCAGCGGCTGCAACTGCAGCAGCAACTGCAGCAGCAGCAGCAACTGCAGCTCCCTTTGATACTGTTAATCCTGCATAATGCACATGCATATGTAGTACTAATCACATTCCTGCATTTCCCATAAATATGCTAAATTCCTCTTGATATGCAAATTCCTTTGTCAAGGCGCCCAGCTTATATATATGCTCCAAGCTCGTGTGCTGTTTCATTCAGACTCTGTCGCCTCGACAGACCTGGTTTTCACCTGAGGACGGCTGCTTGCGTTGTGGCCGAAACGTCGTGAGAATAATTTTATTATGTTTTATTTTTATTATTTTATTACTTCCCTTCTACGTGACTTTACCAAAAGAACCAAGAAGATGAATCCCTGCAGTCACGAAAGCTTTAAATCAAAATGAGCACAAGTTGTTTAACATGTATTCTATTCAAGTCAACGAAGAACAATTATTGAAACATTGATTGATGAGATTTGCCTACATTTAACAATAAACACATTGATTCTTGGCACGGTGCCTAATTAGTGAAAATTAATTTAATAGCAGCTGATTGTCGTACTTTTGCAGTCTCAGCATGATAATCGCCATGTTTAATTGTGTACATTTTACAATATTGTTATGTTAATGGTTGTGACTTGAATTAAAAAAATTGAGCATCATTTAAGAGAAATCCTCCATGGATTTACAGAACCACGGTTATGGAAGCAATTATTCTTAAAAGTAATTTCAGTACATTTCACCTGGTTAAATAACAGACTCTGATTGAAATATAGTTGTTCAGTGTTAATAACTTTCCCGTTAATGATAATTGTAAATAAACATTACTACTGTTATAAATTGTGTTAGTTTTAGATTGCAATAATAATGCCTTGTTGACTTGAGTGAATTTATATCAGTGATGTCGAATCAATTATTAATGGCAGTGGCATTGAGGAAGGCAGCATTCTCTTACCCTTGATTAAGTTGCCTGCTGCAGATTGCTCTGGCTTTAATCTGCAATCACACTCTAACTGGGATCATCTCAGCAGCATTCCTGAACATAAAGCAGCGTAATTGGTAAATAGCTGTCCCCTTACAGGTCACTTTGCACAAACAAGGAATTAAAGGCTTCCTGCAGTGTGTTGTATATCAACACAGTAGAAAGGAAAAGAAGAACAAACACTGTAAACAAACGTCAACAGTCGTACAATGCAGTGCTAAAGGACAATTTGGGGAATTCTGTTTGTTGTTCTTTGCCGCTGAGGGTATAAGAAGTACTGTCTAATGAGCAAGTATGTCTGTGTGTGTGCATATGTCTGTGGTGGTGGGGTATACAATGGCAGTGACCCAAGTTTCAATTCCCAGCCCTGTATCTGACTGCATTGTGGTATCTCTGGAAAGGGCTTCATTGGGGTGGTTGAATGTTTGTATGAAATGAGCGTGCAGTGCTGACAGAGAGTCGAACCGATTGGTTTTTCGGCTGTGTTTGGGTTTAGCGAAAACCAATTGAACCAGTTATACTTCAACGTTGTTTTAAATCTGGCTGTCGCCTGATTAAGCTAGTAGTAATTACTGGCAAAACGTCGTACTCAGATTGTAAATGTTGTGGCTTTGCTCACCACACCGGTGTGCTGTACTAGTAACAAATTGGCATGTTCTGTTTACGTGACAAACCTTACTAATTGGCTGTGTCGGGTAGTGGCAGGTTTAACGACACATTCATTTATTTACGCGATCTAACACATAAAACCTGTATTATGGTTGTTTTGAATGGTTTGGTTCCGATTAACCGTTTGCTAAAAATAATTTAAAACCAGTTAAAATTTTCCATCAAAGTCTCCAGAGTGCTGGGAGATGTCTGGCAAGCGTGGACGAGCAAGCCCATTTGCTAAGTTACACCTTTACGCGATAAGCTCGGGCAATTTTCTTCTCTCGGACAGCGACTTTTCAAATGAGCAGGTGGTGAAACAGCCCGATCTTGTTGCTTTCGTTATAAGAATGGAGCGGGTTTCATTTGCCTTTGTTGTGATACAGCGTCAGAGACTGGAGATGAGCTGGCCCTGTATGGTGGTGTGGCTGTCGCCCTGGTCGTATCAGTGGGCATTGTTCTGGCTGCCTCAGTCGCGCTTTATCGTCGACGGCGACAAAACTACGAGGCCGATATCATCAACTCCAACTCGGATTTGTACGGGGGCTTTGCGCCTGCTGGTCAAAAGGCCGTGCGACACGGTGAGTACTTTGCAATGAAGTGCACTGCAGTAATTGTACATATATAGTGAGCCAAATGTGAACAGTTAGTTGATTGTGAAGACCATTTATTTCGGCATTGTAAAGGAGCATTTGAATTTTAATAGTTAATTATGTGCGGTCAAGTAACTATTCCAATGTTTCAAACAGTTGGTGAAGTGTAATTGAAAGTAAATATATTTCATAGACATGATAAATGGAATACTTTTTCTAATTATTATAATCGTTATATTCATTGAAAACTATTAGCTGGCAAGTAATTTATATATTGTGCTTCTTTTAACCCTTTACTGTATTCAAATGCAATTATTCCTTTGTACCTTAACAATTCGTTATATATGTTTACAGTTTATTTACCATGAGCAAATAAATAATATATGCTTACATACTTTGGATGCACATTTCCGTGCAGACATGATACAAAAGGAATAGACTGTACTAGATACATCACTAAGTTAATATTTACATCATGGGACCTCCTTTTGCCAGTACCAAATATGATAATAGGGTTTTCCTCCTTTTTCTGGCAACAAAACAGGTGTTAAGATATCTCAAATGGCGTTAAACCTCTGGTCTAACACCGTTTGAGACGAGGGTCAGAAGAAAGCTGTTTCTGGTGTGGACCAATCAGTTTCAAGGACAATGCATATATTATCAGAGTATGTCTTTTGTTTGCATTCTGACCACAAGCATTGTGGTTAATGCTGACATGATTCCTTGTAAACGGTTTTAGTTTGGTGTTTTAACATCTTAACACCTGTTTTGTTGCTAGAAAAAAAGGGGAAAACCCTATTATCACAAGTTGATATTCTCTTTTGTTTTATGACCAATATTATCAAGCAGAATTTGTAATTCAGGACGCACAATATGGGCCGGTTGTGACTTTGTGGATCTGATTATCAGAGTCAGGCTTGTTAGCAAATCGGGTAATTCAGCATAATTTTTTTAACAAGCATGACTGTTGATGAGACATAGGTCAACAACGATCCACAGTTTGCTTGCATAATCAAATGCTGCTTCATAGCATCGGTCTAAAAATCTCATTGGCTGACAGTGTTGCTAATATTTTCTTTAACTCATAATGCCCCCACATTTTTCTATGATTTTTATTTACAAGCCAAACTCTCACCGTGTGATCTTGCCTGCAGATAACACAATGCAGAGGATGGCTATGCATTCTGATCTGACAGCTAGAAGCAGCTCATTCAATGGGCCAGTTTACCCACAATGTGACATGACGCAGAAGATATCCATGACGCATTTCCAGCTGCTGGAGCCGCTGCCTGGTTTAAAGATCAAGGTCTGCAGCTCTCCCACTGTGTCATCTGCTGACGTGTCCAGAGAAAACGGGGCCAGGTTGTCATCGAGAAGTTTGGCCCTCGACGGAGACTCGGCGAGCCTGATCGGATTTTATGGGAGCATGTTGTCACCAAGGAAGTCAGACATGGATGTAAACTTAGACAGTGCGACAGGAGACTACAGATCTGTGCTGTCGTACAAGAGGTTGGGTATTGAAGCAGGTGCAGCTAACCAAACGACGAGACTGTCCACAGAGAATAACATCAAACTAGAATTGGAAACGGACACATCTGACTCCTGTGTGTCGGAGAGAAGGAGGTCTCAGAATTGTGCTCCTCTGTCCCAAGACAAGGGAACGAGTGTCTATGCCACGTTTGGATGTCTGGGAGGGCGGCTTCTTATTCCGAGCTCAGGTAACTGTAAACTCGCCAACAGATGTTACGCATTTATGATTGCCTATGAATTATTAATTATTGCTGTAGCCACATTAATTTATTTGGTACTCCGTATAATGTATCATTGGGAGTGCTGCCATTCAAACCTGAATGCATGACAAGTTGCACATTGAAAAGGTTGAACATTCTGTGATGATGCATAATACTGGCTTAGATCATTGCCACACAAATTGTAAAAGTGCTTCGTTTGACTAAGGACACTGTAATTCGTTTAAGTTAAAGTAATGTTGATGGCGTGCTAGTGATGAAACAAGACTTAACTTTGAATGACCCTTGTTTATAAATAAACATTTGGTGAAACGTGCAAGACTATTTCTGGACAACACATTTAATGTTGTCTTACCAAGCATAACAAAAAAGAAATCTTGAACATTAATGTAAAGGCTTGCATAGATTACTATACTTTAGGTTCATGTTTTGAAAAATCATCGCTGTTAAATAACAGTTGTTTTAATATATACAATGCACATATTCTGGAAATTGGTCGAATAATACGTAGGCTTTCCCGACCAATATCATCCATAATAGAGCTTTTTTTTGGGTTAGATCGCGTAAATATATAAATGTGTTGTTAAAACCCGCCACCACCCGACACAGCCAACTCGTAAGGGTTGTCACGTAAACAGAACAGACGACAGCCTGATGAATCTAGTTGATGAAGCTAGTTGAAATTACTGGCAAAACGTCGTACTCAGATTGTAAATGTTGTGGCTTGGCTCTCCAACACATTATTGTGCTGTACTAGTGACGAATTGGCCACGTTCTGTTTACGTAACAACCCTTACTAGTTGGCTGTGTCGGGTGGTGTCGGGTTTTAACGACACATTTATATATTTACACGATCTAACCCAAAAAAAACCTCTAATATGGATGGTGGAATAATATTGTGTTGACTTTGCAAAGGGAACCATTGTGTAGTCAGCAAAGGGGAAGACCAGAGTCTGACTGCGTGGGGTTTTCAGCCTGCAGATATTAAGTGAAGGCCGCTTGCCGAGGTGTATGTTTATGAGATCTTGTCTCATTTTCCCTCCATCTCTGCCGGGCCGCATTGAAAGGAGTGGGCTTACTGGTGCCACCAGGGGCAATACCCCATGGTCATTTCTACCAGATGTACCTCACGGTCCACAGGGGAGAAGACAGCGGGTGAGGCTTAACCCATTTGTGTCGCACACCTCTTGTGTCTTTACAGTCGTCCTCATTCCGTGTTTTATGCCAGCTGTTTTGTGCACAAGGAAGCAATTTGAACATTAATCGCTGCAAATGCCTCGCATTTTGTGCATTAGCTCACGACAAATATTTACACAGTACTTTGTTTCATTCGAAATTTTATGTGTACTGCAGTGTTTTTGTGTGTTACATACGGACACAAATTCTGGGGCAGGCATCATTGTGCTATCTTTCTGTTTAATGGTGGACGATTGTTATACTGCAACGTATATATGCACATTTAACAAAACAGCCTTTAATTTGCATGGAGGGATGTTCTTTGAGAACTAAAAACAAGATGAATTGGAAACACAGTGAAAGATTATGTAATTGTCATTTATGTTTTCATCTCAGTAAGTACACAGGTAGTTTGACATGAAAGGGTTAACCAGAGGGCTTGCATTCCTAAGCATACGTGATTGACAAGTAAGCCTTTGATTACTGACCTCTGCAGCCTATTTGTCCAGCATGTTTGTTCTTCCTCTGCTCATCCCAAAAAATATGATCACAATGCCTTGAGCGAGTTGTTGCCACCGTATGTAAACTGACGCCTGCATACAAAAACCTGCATGGTAGGTGATTTTTACACAGAGGGCCACAATGCAACTTAATGATGCATGCATAATAAAAAAAAACATTCTCTAAGCTCTGCCTAAATGAGCAGATGCTGCATTGAAAGTGTTTTGATTTTGTGCGAAATGAATTGGATTGTCTTGTTTCTAAATGCTCCTCACAAATTTCGTTTGTGGCCTGAATTTTGCTGATAATTTTTTGCTGATATGAAATTCCTATTACGTAAATAATGCTTAAAATTACATTGCAAATTGCAGTGTACTGCTCTTGATTAATATGTAAATATAAATGACTGTTTTCCTACCTTAAGGCCAACATAAAATGTTCAATGACCGGTTGTTTTAGCAAACGCAGAGTTGGTAGTTGGCTGTGAATTGTATAATACAATCTTTTTTTATAAAACAAATTACCACATTATTTTCAACGATTAATATTAGCTTCCTTCTGTTCGATAAATTAGGCAGCCATGTGGCACGTGTGTAGAGTGTTTGACTCAGTCGTCAAATTGCAATTTCAAAATGCAATAAGAGGTGCATTTCAGCCATCCATTCCTTCAAGGTCGATAAAATAGGTACTTTGCTGTGGAACGTCAACAGGAATTGTGTTTTTGGAGAGACTGGCAATCTCCCGGGCAATGTGGAATTTCCACCACTGGCTGAGGACTGTCAATGGAGATGTGCACAGCCCCAAAATTCATGAGAAAGCCAACACTTTGACTGTCAATAGTAATAAATAAATGTCTTTAAAATTAACATTATTTACCTGAACCCCGCATCAAGCTTCGTGGATATGCCCAGACGTTCAAACCTTGTTGTAAATATCTGTTATCTGTTTTTTATAACCAGCAGAAAACTGTTCCTCTCAGTCCTATAAGGCAATTTCCTCCACTGTTTACATCAGATACAAATCCCGATACAACACAAATCATATTCATGTGAATTAGTGGTCTCAGATTAATTGAAATCAGGAAGCACCCTCTCCTATTAATTTGAGCAAAGAAATGCAGGAAACAGCATCATACTACTTGCTTCTATAATTGTTGATGCCTTTGCACTAAAGTGCCGCTGATGTATTTAACATGTGTCACCATTAATGTTTCTACTTTTCTCAAAAACTTTTTTTACATATATAAAACATTTTCGTGACAAAAAATGTTCTAGCATTGTCAACGGTGTTTTCAGGCCAGTGCTGGAGGGTAGCCAGACCCTGCTGAGCCCCGTGGTGTCATGCGGGCCCCCCAGCATCCCCCTCCTCTCCCCCGTCATCCTCTCCCTCCGCCACTGCGCCGAGCTCAGCCCGGAGGACTGGGCCCTCAGCCTCAAGCGACAGCTCAGCTCTGGGCACTGGGAGGTGAGGGCTCTTGCACTCCAAGGTCCTCAAGCCTCCTCATTTCCTCGATATGCGTGGGTCTCATACGTATGTATGTTTGTTGAACTTCTTTCGCACCGTACTTAGCAAATCGGAGGTGCGGGGAAAGGACAACAAACTAAACACAAAAAGCAGTTCTAAAGAAATACCTCTTTATTACTGCACAAACGAAGCATGCTGGGGCTGTCCCGAGCTAGCCTGGTGCAACTCAGGGGGCGCCATGCTGTTCTCGAACTGCAGCAGCCAAGCCATGCCAATGAGGTCGCATGCAACAAACGAGTCAAGACGCCTATAGATGATGTGGTGACATTGTGTCCTGATAGTGTACAGAATGACTTTACAAGCAATGAATCAGCCTCGCCGCTGTCCTTGGTTGGCCTCGAGCCAGAGTATTATTGTTATTTGGTTTTTATTCAGCACGAAAAACAGCCAATGGAAACCTTCCATACCGTGTGTGGACTCGGTTCAGATGTGCCAGTGGAAAATTGTATCAGGGACAGTGACTGATGGATCCGGTGGCATATGGTAGCCTGAAGAGCCCATCAATTCTCTCATGAGCTCCAGCGACTAGACTTAGCGCTCTGTATGAATTACTTCATTATTAATTCGAGTTAAGTCTCACTAAGGTTAATTATTATTTTTCAGGAAGGTCGTGCGATGCATGTTTGGACAGTTCTATAATAAATCCATCCTCATAATGAGTATGTGTAAATTGCATTACTGGCTCAAGGCTGGCAGCTGAGTTGAGCACTGCCCCAGACTCCTAAAAACCTTAAACAATAGTAACCCAGGAATTTATAAAATGGAAGTATTTAACACCATTTAAAACAAATTGAATGTTGGAAAACCTTGTGCTGGACTGGAGTTCTACTACCAGAATCCTTTCCCTCTCACTAAATCTGATGCGCATTTGCTCACTTATTCACAAACTCATTCACACCCTTACTCATGCACCCACTCACTCACTCACCCACACCCTCATTAATTCACCTTATTATTTTTCTCACTCACCCACTCAATCACTAACCCACTCACTCCTTTATTCATTCACCCACCCATCCGCTTACTCTCTCATTCACCCAACCCATCTCCCAGACCTACCCACACACTCACCTTCATCCACCCACTCGCCTTCATCCACCCACTCACCTTCATCCACCCACGCTACCCACCCTACCAACCTTCATCCATCCACCCACTCACCTTCATCCACCCACGCTACCCACCCTACCAACCTTCATCCATCCACCCACTCACCCAGCCACGTGCATGGGCATTGCAGGAGGTGCTGAGGCTGGGCGAGGAGCCTGCACGGCCGCCGTGCTGCCACTGGCAGCTGGAGGAGCGGGTGTGCCACGTGCTCACAGAGACACCGGGCACGTACGCCGTGCTGGGGGAGGCGCTCGGCCCGGCGGCCGTCAAGCGGCTGAGGCTGGCGGCGTTCGCGCCCAGCGTGTGCCCCTCCCTGGAGTACAGCCTGCGCCTCTACTGCCTCAACGACGACACCGAGTCCCTCACGGTGAGAGCTGGCTCCCTCCCGAGGATCACGCTCCCAAGTGCAATACAAATAGAAATACGATGACATTTTATCGCTAAATAGTGGCGTATTCATGATAGCACCTGTATAAGGCTTAGTTCATCCAAAGACTTTATAAGCTGGGGAAAGATAGCTTAAAAGTGCTCATAGAACCCAACTCAAATCGTCTGAGCAGATACACGGAATTGGCCAGAATAATGCATCTCCTTTTCTGTCATATTCAAGGGGTGAGGATGCGACCATAGGGTAAGTGTTAGCAGCACTAGACGTGCATTCCGAAGGTCGTCAGTTCTTTCACGGGCAATTTTCTCAAAACCTTCCCTCGTCTTTCCACACGCGGTCTAAATGTGAACACCACAATTGGTCAATCAGCAGATTGTATATGGTGGGCTAAATTGTATGTACTTCCACCTCTTCTAAAATACCTGACCAGCGTGGAAGAGGAGGCTAAAATACCATAGAAATGTTTCCTCTGGAGGTCCCTCTAGTGGAGGCTATTCTGTCAGCATTGGCATGAGCAAGACATTCCAGGGCTGTATCTTTACCCATTGAAGGGACAGAGAGATTTCTCACCACTTATATAGATAGGCAAAATTTAAGTGTCGAACTGCTCGCTGTTCAAACAAGCGTGAGGTACTGCTCATATCTATTGGTGGCCCTCAGCCAGTTCGGAAGATTGCACATTGTGATGGTGTCAGTTGATCTCTCCAACTGTTGACTATCGACAATGTGGTACTCTTTTTATCAAGCTTGGAAAGTCGACAAACGGGGTCAACTGACAATTTGAATTTCAATTCACGATCATCTGATTAGTTACGGGACCTTTTTTTTCCAGTATCAAAATGATGAAATAAAAAGAATAGGCTTCACCCTTTCTGTGCAATCAGAGTAATAAAAAAGAATCATCTTTACCAAGAAAGGGTAAGGCCTATTCTTATTTTAACCTTTTTTTAGTTCACTTCAAATTAAGCAAACCATTAAATTGTTATACAAAATGTAATCCTGGAAGAAACTTCATAGGAATCCTCCCAAAAAAAATTTGCTTCGAGTATGATGTTAAAAATAATCTCAGACCGCAAGAACGCGCTACAGACGCTCCGTCCTGTACCACACAAATATATGCTAATTGATGTGCTAATTGGTCTGAACTTAAGTGCAATTACCATGATTTATGATGGATTTCAAGCTATCCACGCATGAGCTGACTGTGTTACTTTGGGTTGGGTGGCTGAGGTTCAAACGGCAGATCTCATTTGGTGCTGGATTATTCCCTGACATATGTTTCAGCCTTCTGGGCCACCTAGACACCTATACCCAATAGGCTTATGTGACACAAAGTACACACTGTGTTCTGTGTTGCCTGACAGTTCATAACTACACAGTTGTTCCTTGAAATAAATGATGAAAGAAGACAGGTCTTGATATTACTTTGGCATTTATTTATTTTTACTTGACGATTGGCCAAAAGAAGAAAGTTATTTTGGAAGGTTTATTCGATGAAAGTGTCACCATTTCAATGGAAAAAAAGCAAGAAAATGCAATAATTGACTTTGAATAAATGATATTACCTCGAGCACAATGTTGCTTTGTCCAGGTGCAATAAATGATTATGCTCTGTGCAATGTGAAGGCTAAAATTGTGTATAAACGAGGCTGGAGTGCTGCTACAGTGACCGCCCTCATGAGCGTTGTTTCTGAAAATCTTGCCATGGAGAAGACTTGACCCTTATTACGTAATGCTACTGCACACCTGCCATGTTTGCGTAAACGCAACGCTTGTAATCAAACTGACTGGACCTTAAGTAAGCAATTCTGTAATAAGATATTGTAATACATAAATAAATCAATTTGGTTAACTCAACCACAGCGACCTCATTTTCGCTGGGTGTAAAGTCACACTTAATGCAACTAGATTGGACACATAAACCCACACTATAATTCTTGAGTTACTTTGACACGTGTTTTTTTATATATAAGTCTGTTGATATCTAAAACAAAACTATACTGTCAAGGATTGAATATAGATTGTGTGAATATTACTTGCAATTGTTTATTTAAACACATATATGCAACTACCATTATATATCGAAAATAAATGTTGTCTTATGTGTAATGTGTGGTAAGATGTGGCATTGTGCTTATAACATATCACTATGATCTTGGAAAATAAATTTGTGTATTGGGCTTTGAGGTGCTTTTTGTTTAAAGCCCAAGTTTTAACCCCCATCAATACTCACTGTCTGTATCACTGAAAGACCACCAGCACTAACTAATGAATATCCCATGGAAATGAACTATCAAATTGCATTGTTTGCAATAATAGTTAATGAGTTGATGGCGCTGTGGCCAAAAGTAAAATAATTTCAGTCATGTCTTACATATTTTACATGATTGCAGTATCCTATTTTGTACACTTGCTAGGGTATGAGATGTGTGTTAATGATGTATCCTGATGTGAAAGTGACAGGAATGCAACACTTGAGAAAAAACATCGATCGTTTAAATGTGGATTAGTGAAAACGTATAGAAAGCAATACATCACGAGCAATTTTGGCAAATTACCTACATCATGAGTGTCAATGAAATTTAATTTGCTGATGTGCTTCTGTCAACGGATCCTGTGAGCTTTTTACACCTCATTATAAAAATGTAGACTGCACACACACACACGCATGTTGGCACACGATACATGTTTGTTTCTTTCAGCGAAGTGAGAATGGCCAGATATGATGACGTATTGCTGGTCACATACTGTTCTCCTGGTCGATGAGTCTTCGGGCTTGTTGTTGTGCTGACAAGTGTGCAAACTGTCCGGTTATGGTCTCACAGCACCGCCAAAGTACAAAAAATATATATAAAGCTGGATGGAATCACAAATTATTTTAATGACCCTTTGGCAGAATAAAAAGTTAAGACAGTTTGTAACTTTGTATTGCTTTTATTTACTTATTTTTAACCACAAAGCTATATTCAGAAGCTGTCTACAAAAAACGTGCACATATATAAAAAGTGACAGTGATTAGAGCACCGGATAGCAAATGGCTGTAATCAGCACATATTTCTGGCCTTTTCTGTTCATCTGTTGAGTTTCTTCCATGGGCACTTTTAAGGCGCCTTCCCTACATTACAAAATATTGCTATGAACTAAGCCTTACACAGGTGCTGCCGCTTGTTAGTACTGAAAATGTTGTACTATCTATTCATTCTGCGTGTGTATGCATATATATTAAAATGCAGAAAAAGATCAAATTTGTGCAAAGACGCGTGGATCAAATCTGTAAGTGATAATAAACACCCACATTAACAGAAAAAGTGCAGAGATGGAGTGACGAGATCAGAAGGAATGAGATGTATTGTGGCATTACAGAACCAGTGGATAGACAATAGTTGCTGATATTGCTGTTCATGTCCTCTGTGTGATGACCTCAATTCCTAATTTTTTGCAGGCGAATTGTAGCCATGTACTCATCACTGCATGGGTTTCTACAAAAGTGTGGGGTTACTTCTTTCTTAACAACTTGCTCTATTTTGGGAAAAAAACAAGTCAATATGTGCGATATTGCTGACGTGGCTTACCCAGTATTGCTGTTCTAGGCAGCCTGGGATGTTGACTCCACTTCCATAAATCCCACTTAATATGTTGCCACAAGTATTGACACGTGTCACCCTGATGGATTGGGACCCTTATCTTTCCTTTCAGGAAGTGGTAGAGCTGGAGAAGCGACTGGGAGGCCACATGGTTGGAGAGCCATCAACACTGCACTTCAAAGCCAACTCGGGCCACCTTCAGCTTTCAATGCATGCCGTCCCAGACACTCTTTGGACGAACAATGCACACAGCAAGTTGCAGGTACACAAGAGGATTAGTGCCAGTTTTGGTTAAGGTTGACACCTGTCCTGGCTTTCCCAGGATGTCCTCTTTTTGAGGTAGTTGTCTTGAGAGATATGTAAGTCTGCTCGAAACGTTTAAAGTCCCTGCACTTTGTCAGTTGCGTATTAAATACACCACTGAAGGATTTGTGAGATATTTTTTCCATGATATGTTCACTTTGTTGTACCCCTGAGGTGGCAACCTAAGTTGTGAAGTTGTGGTCGTAATCAAAACGTGACGTCAGGCTCTACTCATTTTTGTTGGCAACCCTGAGCCAGTGGTGAACATTCTATGTTCCTACGGAGTGTTACAGACTCCTCAAAAAGTGTTATCTATTTTATAGACCCCCGGAATTTTAATGATGAGCCGAGTTATTTTAGTAGTTTTCTCAAGTATTAAATTGCTTAAGAAAGAATATATTGTTCTACCCTGAAAATAAACATTCATCTTAAAACATATTGTAAATTTGTATGAAATGCATTCAGCATTGGACTTGAAACCGGTATATACAATATTTTATACCTCCACAATGTTTACAAATCGAAGATTCCACCACAAAGAAACTAATGTGTGCTGTTGTCAAACCATCCGTTAGTCTCAAGTCTATAGCAACACAAGTGAACAGATTTGCCGATGCCGAATCTGTGGTCAGGGTTGCGATTTCCGCATGGAAAATGCGGAAGGAGGGTTCAAATTTTCCCGCATTTTTGCTAAAGTCAACCGCAAACGGTGGAAAGACTACTCCTATGACCGTGCGCTTTTAACAACACGTTAATGCGTTCTATTGGAAAGGATACATGCAAGGCCCAGCATCACGTAGGGCTTTGAGTTACTGATTGGAATGAATATATGATTTCCGCATTTCCGCACCAGAACCACATACTTTATTCAATGTGGAGCCGTGATTACGCGCACATGTACTTTCACTTCTTCGCATTCTTCCAGCGCTTCATGTCGTCTTCGGCGTGAAAGATGCTGAGTTTTGGCTTGTCGCGGGCGCAAACTATAAGCGCGTTCAACTGCTTGCACGAGAGGAGCAACCACTCCTCGGGCTTGATGTTGTTTTGCAGAGAGAAAGCCCTCTCACAGCCGACCGACCTGTGCGCCAAAGTTTTAATCGTTAGCAGTAAAGTGTATATATTCGCAGGAGGTATAAAGTAGCTACGATAGAGGCAAATGAGCGTACGCTGGACGAGGATATTACCTGAGCGGAAACGCGTGTGTATCTGAGCGTATCGAAAACAGCGTGGGTATCTGAGCGCTTGGCCAACATTACCAGTGGATTTCCCAACGCGCTGCAATCTGAGCGACGATGAATAGTTTTGCATATCGACAGAATATGAATAAAGAAAATGCTACAGTTTTTTGTTTTTCCTTTGTCGCTACGAGTACTGCGAGGGCTCCGAATGGCAGACGCTAGGAGACATCATGGGGCTGGGCAAAAGGGCCTGAGCACAGCGCCGGGGGTTGCGTCGATCCGGAAAAATGCAACCGTAGGGATTCCTATCGGCGACAAACATGTCAACGGTGGCGTCGTGTACTTGTGGCAAGTGTGCTTCATCGACGGCATCGACAAGTACTTCGACGCACAAGAGCTCGCGGCTCTCATTGATTTTTTCACAGTTCGTGCGCACCAACAACGCTGTCTGAATGCAGGAATCCATAGTTCATATATACATATCGTTTTTTCCAGAAGTCAGCAGAGCCAAATGGGCATACGCAAGATATGTGCGCCAACCGCGCGAGTACGGCACCGAGAAAGGCGGGAATCGAAGTCACGATTTGCGGAAGTCTTCACAGGAATCACCGCAAATTGCGGAAATTTGTGCGGAAGAGGGTCACAGAAACTACCGCGAAATGCGGTCGAAAACAGCATGTTTGCGGAAATTGGTGCGGAAATCGCAACCCTGTCTGTGGTGTGCCGCCGTGCAGGAGATCCCCTTCTGGCACGTGTGGCCGGGCTGCCAGCGGCTGCTGCACTGCACCTTCACCCTGGAGAGGGCCGGCCCGAGCAGCACCGAGTTCTCCTGCAAGCTCTGTGTGCAGCAGCTGGAGGGCGAGGGCCAGGTGCTGCAGCTGCGCACCACCCTGCTCAACGTAAGTCACCCCCTCTGCATCTCCAGGGACCTCGCCTTCTCCACACATCGCACCTGAGCAAGGCACTTAAACTCTCATGGAATACCATGAGTGGACTCGTTAGCACCTTGTGTCTGTCCCTCTGTCTCTCTCGCTCAAACTCTCTTTCTCTGTCTCTTCGTGTCAAGTCTTTCTCTATGTATCCCTCTGTCTCAAACTCGGCCAGCTGGCATTGTTGTTAGGGTGCTTGACTCACAATCGTAAGGTCGTGGGTTAAAATTCTGTCCATACTTTCAGTATATTTCTGTGCAATTAATTAAATGCGTAAAGCACAGTTGGTCGATTTGCAGGCCACACATGGTGGGGTAAAGTGTTGGGACTCCCACCTCTTTAAAGACGTCTGGTGAGTGTGAAAGAGGAGGCTAAAACACCCAGTAGATGGGCTCTCTAGAGCTCTCCAGAGCTCTCTCTACGGGATCGTGGATCCCCTTCGACCAGCAGTGTTGCGAGACAGTAACTCAGGGGCTGCATACATTTTCATCATTATATATAAGGAATAAAGAATGTGATTATAATAATTGCACGTGATGAACGTATCCATTATTAACTGAAATTCAGAATTTCTTTGAGACGTGTTCGGCCTGGCAGCATGATCGATTGGCCTATATTTATTCAAGTGCGAAAATCGCCACCGCGTTGTTCGTACGTATGTGCGCCGTCGAGTTTGAGCAAAATGCATTGTTCATGGCGTGACAAATTGCACTGTGCGGTCCAAAGTGAGTGTTGGTGTCTGGTTTCCATGGTGTCTCGTGCCTCTGGAAGTAAGTGGGGATAAAGTCATGGGGTGGCACTTTGCTCATCAGTCGAGATTTTCACACTTTGATAGCCAGGTTATGGCTCGCACACCGAACGCTTGTTTTTTGTCAAAGTCTTCATCTCAATTGCCGCGCTTCCTGGCCTAAGATTGGAACATGCAGCTTTACCGGTTCTCTGCTCATGATTCTGAGCCCTCTACATTATATATCATGGCTTCGCTTCCTATATATATGTGTAGTGGGTTCAACTGAGACGCAGACGTACTTCTTGGAGGCAACACATTTATTAACACCAACACACGGGGTAACTACCCCTTAACAGAATAACAACCTATGGTGGTGACCACCAGGCTAACTACGCTAATTACACCATAACTATCTAGAACGGACCGGACCCCAGCTTGGGTCATGGCCCACGTGTTGGAGACTCTGTAGGACGTAGAACGTAGACGGAAGTTTCTTCAGGATGAACAACCGCGCCGGTCCCTCTGGGGGACCCGGCTTATATTCTCTGCGGCGTGGCCAGCTCCACCCCTGGCCACGACCACCTTCCAGAACCCTCTAGCAGGATCTTTATCCAGACCACGTGACCACCCCTAGCCCCTACCTGGGGCCCTTTGTAGACTTAACCGGTCACGTGTCTTTTCGGGTCAACCGAAGTGCCATGTCCTATAGTAACCCCGTTCCTATGGCCGGTACTTCCACACACTATCCTGTTGGGCTGGCACTGCACGTCAAGCGTGATGCCATCCAGCGCTATCACTCAGCGCTGACCGAGCTCCTCCAGGGCCGGTACTACACCCACATCCTAGAGGTGTCTGCGATGTCAATACACTGCACGCCGTGCCTCTCTAGGGCCAGCATTACCCAGTGACATCCCGCGATGTCACTACATATGCATTCAGCGGGACAAATTGCACTGTGTGGTCCAAAGTTAGCTTTGCTTTCTGTTTTTTACGGTGTCTGATGTGGCAGTGATTAAAGAGCAATAGTAACATCTAGCTGCGTATTTTTAATTGGGTAAGAAATCGTTTAGACAATGTCTATTTTGCAAGGGAAACCTATGAACAATATTGATTGGCTCACAAGTGACTACATCACATTTATCCCTCTATTTCAGGGCGAACCAGGAGGATGTCACAACTCTGGCTGTTGCCTGATGATGCTATTTGTAATTACTGGCGAAATATCGTGCTCGAATTGTATATGTTGTGGGTTGACGCTCCAAAGCACTGGTGTGCTGTGCTCGTGATGAATTGGCATGTTCTGTTTACATGACACACCTTTCTAATTGGCTGTGTCAGGTGGTGGCGGATTTAACGACGCATTTATATATTTGCGATCTAACCCAAAAACCTATATTATGGCTATGATCAAAATGCAGGGTGCGTAAAACAGAACACATGTTCAAATGTTTAACATGAAAACTAATTCCACAGAATAACCCATACATGTAAATACAGTGTCAACTACGGTATGCACAAATGTCAAATGTGAAAAGTATAGTATGACATTTTCAATTGAACATGTCACAATTATAAATTTGCCACAAGTGTAATAATGTCACGTCGGTGAAAAAGTTTCTACATTGCACGACCGTGCAAGATGGCAATGGGTCGTGGAAGGACTCCATCCAGCTGTGGATTGATCATGGCTGATGATGAAGTGAACAAGATCCTTGAAATAGCTGTAATAGTTTGATTGCATGATTATCTCTTAAAACATTTACACACATTAATACTGAGGAATGCCAAGGAGTGCATGGTAGTCAGAATGCCACAACTGCACATTCATGTGTATTATGGCAGTGTGCAACACCTTTATATGATATGATGCACTATTAGCCTCCCTAAACTAGAACTATATTCCCCCGATCCTGGAACTCTGCACCAGCTCTTCATTCACGTGTGCATCTTTTGCTAAATTTCAGATCCAAAATGATTCATGGAATCTTTCCTACTTTCTTCCCTCATCATCTCCCAACTACAACCCCTGCACAATGGGATGGTCTCCCCTTTTCCTCCTGTGCAGCTACAGTCTGAAATGACATTCCACGTGCTGGAAATACTTCAAACTCTCCCACATTGTTTAAACTTATATTATTTAAATATTTATTGAGTCTTTTGGTAAAGCCACGTAGATAGAAAAAAAGATTCTTTTATTCCGTAATATTCTTCTTTAATTCCGTAATATTCTGTAATAGTCTTTAAATATTACGTGCGATGTAATTGTGTATTTCGTGTTACACTTTTTTTTATTCCTAATTGCACAATTTGTTTGTATTGCCCTGATATTATTCTGTAAAGTATAGACACTTGGTATTTTTTCACACTATATATAAAACAAATTGTAATTGCAATTGTAAGCAGCTGGATGTCTAAGGCACCATGGCAAGTTATGATGAGACAATTTAACGTTTCATCACATGAGTTTCCAAATGTATGTCATTTTCCATTTCAAATTGCACTGCAGGGCTTAATCTCTCACTGAATATTTTTTTATGGCCACGATAAGACTGGAGTTGGACATGACTAATATCCACGGCCATAGCGAGAGGCATACTGGATGTGGTGTGCCTGGTGCAAAAATGTCTGACATATTTAGCCCTGACACATTTCGCTGCGCACTGCAATATCTCACATGAGTGGCGAATGATATCTGAACCGCTTTGCCCCCCAATCCCCACCCCAGTCCTGCTGCAAGCCACACAGGACTGTACATTCATATGAATGTATACCGTATAGAAAATGCACATACAAGGATCCATCACAGATCAATATTAGCGTGTTGCAAGTGCTGATAGCAAGCACTGATTAATTATTTCACAATTCACGAGGGGATTGTTCAACCTGCTCCACGCCTGGTCGCTATTGTCTCCCAAATAATGTTGTTCACACACCACGCTAGATGTTAATTTTTTGGCGAACTAAATTCAGGGAGGTCCGGGACAGGTTCTGAAAGTATTCGCTAATTATCTTGCCCATGTCTAGGAAGTGCGCTGAGGTTGCCAGTTTGTAGCGCAGTGGCTCATCACTGTGGCTAATCACTGTGGCACCGCTACACAGGCCAATACCCAATTATAATGTACTAGCTTTACTACCGGGCTTCGCCCGGGACTTGGATTCTTGCCTTGGATTAATTTCATATTCCCTTATATTTGAGTGGAAAACCCTGAAAAAAATTGATGCTTGCAAGAAAGAAAAAAACCGAAACAAATACATTTAACTAAATCGGATGTTTTTCACTCAAGGAAATTTAACCTTACGCAGGCAACTTGGGAAGGGAATAACGTGGCGAGCTGAAAATAGTCGCGTTCCTTTAGAAATGCCAGACATCAGCTGTGCAAATTGCATGACGTCAGAGCTCAGCGTTCGAGAGTTTTTGCTGCTTTACACAAACAGATGTATTTTCTGCGTTATATTTAAGAGCGAGCTTAACATAGTCGCGTTGACTTAGAAAATCCAAACAGCCACGCCGCGCATTTGTGCGGGAGACACGGTCTACACAGAGGGTGGGGGGGGACGTCAGCAGGCACACTGCGTAACGCTGCCGCATGCGGGTGACAATCACAGATGCGACGTCACCGCTCACTTACCGTGCAAAATATATCCATTGCGCCCCCCCCCCCCAAAAAAAAATACAAAAGTATATTTTTATACGTTTTGCATTGTGTACAGTCTGGAAGCTACCCACATGTCAAATTTCAAGTTTGTTACATGTCGGGAAGTATGCTCAACATTTCGAACAGACACATATTCACAAATTTTACATACAGATATGTTCAACTTCTTTCACACCGTACGTTAGCCAACTGCACTAATCGGAGGTACTATATAATATAAATTACATATGTATTTTGTTGTATTATTGGTTATTGATATCTACAAGTAATTGAAGAAAACAAGTCACAATAATGTGCAGATGAGCTGATGATTGATAGTGGCAGAAAGACACTGGATGATTGCCACATGAAAATGTGTCTTTGATTGGATAATCAATTCCTTTCCATCCCATATGAGAATATATGTACATGCAGTATATACCAAATATCAGAAAATTAAGCACTATTATATCGTTACTATAGCCAATGCCCTAGGTATTTCACCAGAATAGGCAGTAGTTCAAACAGGAGTAATTATTTCAATTTAGACTGGCAACTCTATACGGTTCATTTTCACTTTAATTGATTTTTGTAAAAATATTTATCACTCATGAAATACTGATATATACATGTGTGGGACATACATTTTTAATAGACATCACCATTACAGTTACCTGAGGCAGTAATACAAACTGGATTGTGGCCTAAGGGAATTTACCCAGCATAGAAGAACTTCATTATATTTACTACAATAGTTTTGACCATTTGTTTTCAGCGCAGCCTTATATTCTCATATGAATGCATGTTCTTTGTTTAAATGCATGAGTAAATGTATATGTACACAGTTTTTTTTATGGGAAGCAGTAATTGTTATCGAGATATATCAATAATGAATCATAATAACATTCTATATTGACAAGTATTGTTATTTTTTTCAAACATATCATTTGGATTATTCCACAGCAATACAATGGTCTAATATTGTGAAATATGGCACTGGGCATGTATTGTCTAGATTACTTCAGATATGGGCTTAGATATTCACATGAATTCGTCTATAAACTCCGTGACAGCCCATAAATATCTATAGGACCAATCAAGTGTTGTCGTCTTAGACCAACTTAAACAATTGACTGTCGTTAAAATGGCACTATGTGGTTCACAAGCTTTAACATTTGCTGTCATGCATTCTTTCTTTAGCAGCCTTATATTATAATTTACAGTATTGATTGATAGCAAATAATGCATCAACTGAACTTTTCGTCACAATGATCATTATTCCAAAGCCTCATGTTTCATATTCAGAACATAACAATAGTTTGGGTTTCTGTGTGCTTGTGTGAGTGAGTTCGTGTCAATGCTACGCTTGGGCATGGTGTTGATATGTTCCTTTATTCTAGAAGGAAGCTATTCACTTGTGCTATCAAGGACCTTAATATTGTACGCTCTTGTGGGATTTTGTTTTGTAGAAAGGAAATGGTCGATGTGGTCAAAAGATTTGGATAAATCAATGGTTAAAGGGGACACAGTGGCCTTGAGTTTCAAATTCCTTTAGGACCTTTTCCAGCACGATGCAAAGGAAATTGACTGTCAAGGTCCTTTATGTTTTCTTACTTGAGATAGTTCACTTTGGTGTTTAATATCTACCTCAATCTATATAACCACAAAGGCTTCCAGCGTTACAGGGAATGGAACAATGCTGCTCAGGTTTGTAGAATGTACTTTTTCTTTAGGAGCAGATGTGGGGCATACATGTGCTGCCCTCTCCAAGCCTTAGTCAAAAGGCATGACACTTGGTGAATAAAATTGCAGTTTAAGGCAGCCTGGTCAGTTAGCTTTGCTCCTTTATCAACTTTATTATCTTCCAAGTCTCACTGAAAAGCAGCTTTTTTGGGCATTCTAAAAAGTGTGGAGTTAACCGAACTTACTTTTGAGCCTTGTGGCTAGTAATTGCAAGTGGCGGTGTTCAGGCTGGGCAGCTTGTGACACTTGAGTGCTTGAAAGGTTTTGCAATATCGATTGGCTGCTGTTGGCACGTAGGTCATGAGGTTTACCTTGGCTTATGCCATACAAAGAACAGCTGTTGTTCTTTCAGTCACTTTAGAATCAGTCTTCAAGTGTTTACCTTTCTTTGTTTACAAACAATACTCACAGGGAGAAAGCTACGGATTTTACTTTCTGTAATGACATTTACAATTGATGTGATTAGCTTTATTAACTAATTAATGTTAAATGTTTAATTCCTTTTTTATCCTGTGTATATATATATTTGTTAATTGTCTGTGTAATACAAGCCTCTTGTGCAATTAATCCACTCTTGTGCTATTTTCATGTTGCCAAAGCTGTTGATGTCTTGATATCAGAAATGTAAGTCATAGTAATATCAGTTTCATTTTGCATGGATTTCCATGTTTTTTTGTGTTTAGTTTGTTGCCATTCCCCCGCACCTCCGATTAGCATGGTTGGCTGTGTACGGTGCGAAATAAGTTTAACATACATACATACATAGACTTCCATGCAAAATTAACAACTGGCATTTATCACAGAGCACAGTAAAGCTCTGTTAAGATTTGCGTGTGTGATTTCATATTTTTAAGGCAAGGTCACCATTTCTCAACAAAACATCTCACGGATAAATGAGCATGTTAATTTTCACTTTTAATTGACATCCAAATGCAGTATACAATATACAGCACTCTACATTTGCATACAAATAGTAGCCTAATTATGGTGGCATCATTATTATTGGCCAAGGTGGTGTCTTGGCTTTGACCTTGATATCCATTTTTTTAAATGTCTCATGCAGTGTACTCTATATTTGATCGTTTACATTTTTAAGCTGACAATATATTTTGTGACTGTGCATTTATTATCGACAGCCATTGGCATGTTCCATCATGTCATGAACGTGACACTGTGCCCAGCCATACCTCAAGTGCTATTTTAACAACCCATTTGCCCTGGGTACATAGACACGTACCACTTCTCGCATACCAGATTAAAGCTCACGTGACGTTCCACACCAGATGCCCCGAGTGCTTTCACAGCTGGGGCCTAGCATATCAGATTAATCACAGACTCCACACTGAAGGTCTTCTATGGATATCTATTGAAAGTTTTTTTTATTATTTGTGCCAGCGGCACAGTGGTGACCATCTTCACGAGGTGTATATCTCACTGATGGTCTACTTAGAGGAGGCATGAGAGTGTGAGCAATCAGAACTGCCTTCGTGCCCCACTGGGCCATGATGCCCCCTGCAGTACACTCAGCTCATCCGATCAGCCCAGGTGAAATTCTGACGTTGTCCTGGTTTTATCAAGATCACCCTCTTGTTGAGGTAGATGCCCTGCGAAATCTGTGAGTTCCATGGCATTTAAAGTCATGGGTTTTGTCAATTGCGTAATCATTTACCGCTCAAGACAATGCATCTCCATGTAGTTCATCCCCTCTTTCAGTATTGTGAGATTTTCTTTCACTGATATTTGGTGGCTTTTAGTCTCGAGGATCCGCTTACTTCGAGTGATCTGGTCACCTCATTGAGTCCATGTTTGCATCTGCAATGGGCACAGGGAATCAGTAGTGGTGCCCGGTGTTTATGCCCACAGGGTAGGATGTTATATTGTAAAGAGGACTTCTTGTGCGACTGATCATGGAATCACCTTCCTTATGTTATGGAAAATGCTGATGGCTGCCTAAAAAAATCAGCATTGTGGGGAGTGCAATCACAGGTTATGGACACAGCACTTAATAGGCGTATTGTTGTAACCAAAATTGTTTAAAAATATGTAAAGCCTCTTGATGTGAAATTGCAGTTATGCACTTTATAAATTAAAATTGTTGTTTTGAAGGTTTTTGGCACCATGCATTATTGTATACAGTAGTTACATGACTAATTTGTTTTGGGCTTTGGGGATTGCCTTACGTTGTATTTTTGTTACTTAAACGTGCATGCTCAAATGTATTTGTTTGCTGTTTTGGCATTTGTATGGTAATTGGTCTTGATAGACATGTAAATGTGAGATCATGTAATAGGTGATAGTGACTAAATAAATCTGGGGAAATTGGAAGATAGCCTGTAGCAAAAAATAGTTTTCATCAGAGAGGTGCGAAAATGACGAGTGGCTTTCAAATGGAAAACACGTCCAGACAAAGATTAATGCTAATTGCATTGTTTTTTAATTACATTGTATATATATCAAGTATCGGACTGAAAATTGCTCAAATTTCTTAGAATTGTTAAAAAATTATTATTCTTAAAATTCCAAGGGAATGGACCAAGGTGGGAAAACGGACACGTATATCAAGCCTTCTCATCTTCAGCTTTCTGCAGTGCAATTACAGTTTGAATTTACAGAATGTCTAAATACGACTTCATCTCAATGCTATGTGTAAAACAGAGGGGCTGAGTGCATCAAGGAAACCAGCAGTGAAAAATATGTTTAATGGGTTTTGGAGTTTGAGCCGTTGAAGTCTGCAGGTTAGAAGATGGTGTAGAAAGGTGCAATTGAAGATATTCCATTGAGAAAAGACCATGAGGGGGAGTTTAAAAGACACTAGACTTTTACATTCTGTCCATCAAATAATTCACCATTTTATTATAAAAGTTAAAATGCTTTTTTTTTTAATCATGTCGAATTAAACAAATGGTGTCATACTGTATTTTATTTGTTGCTTTATTTTACTTAAATGTAAATGTTATCACGTATAAAGTGCCCTGAAATACCCAGGCTTAAAGGGCATTATACCAAAAAACAAATTGTTATACTATTATGAATGTAAACCAATTGATAAACATTTCTACTTACAGGAACCCTTAGATGGAGACCGATCATCTCCCGAGATCATCTCTGCCGGCTCGGCCCTCGTGGGTCCCCAGGCTTTCAAGCTGCCCTACTCCATCCGCCAGAAGCTGTGCAGCAGCCTGGACTCCCCCAACCCCCGTGGCAACGACTGGAGGCTCCTGGCGCACAGGCTGGGGGTCCAGAGGTCAGTGCCCCCCCCACCACTGCTAATCTCAGATAGTTTCCAAGGTGACTTGCAGTCATAGCAAGATTTAACAGGCTCAGATGTCTGCCGAAGGTTTAGATAATGATATCAGTTGTTTGTCTTTCATCCTGACAACTGGCATGACAGGAGATAGTTTTTTTAATGCTTGCATCCCTTTTGTGCTCATGAGTTATGTCCCTTTAACTGTTGCTTGTTAATATGGTGTTTAGGAAACATGTTGAACATTACATTAGTTTTGCTCATATTTATTGCGAGTTCAACTTTGCAGCCTTATTTGCGAACTTCTTCAACCGTTTGTTGTAATACATTTTCTTTGCTTGTGAAATACACTTTCTCGTCGGCAAATCTGAGATGGCGAAAACTTTGTCCCTTTATACTCTTTGTTTTTTTTCGGTAAAGTCACGTAGGTAGAAAAATAAATAATAAATCACGACGTTTCGATCGCAACACAAGCAATCGTCGTCAGGTAGAAAGATACAGCCCTTCATTGTTCAGCATTTCTACTGCTGTATCTTTATACCTGATGACGCTCGCTTGTGTTGCGATCGAAACGTCGTGATTTATTATTTCTTTTTCTACTTACGTGACTTTTCCTGCAGTCACGAAAACTTCAAATCAAGATTTGTCCCTTTATGTTTAAACATTTTATTTCTCCAATCTAATTTGTCGACTATCTCATAACATCATTGTATATTACCTTTGGTGAGCAAGTTAATTTCCTTGCCTGACTCCTTTTTCATTTGTGGTTTACTGTTCTCTGCATGCAATCTCAATGTCGCAGTTTCTCTTCTATGTAAGTGGGTTTTGGTGTCAAAACCATTCGATGCAAATCTAAGACGCAGACTTGACAAGAATGTTTAAATTATGATTGTGTAAGCAGTGGTCAAAGGGCTGTGAATATCAATGAATTGATTAACCTGTATTTATACAGTTTAATACGTAGGCTTTCGCGACCAATATCATCCATAATACAGATTTTTAGGGGTTAGATCGCGTAAATATAAAAATGCGTTGTTAAACCCTGCCACCACTCGACACAGCCAATTTAGTACTGGTTTGTCACGTAAGCAGAATATGGCAATTCGTTACTAGTACAGCACACTGGTGTGTTAGACCAAAGCCACAACATTTACAATGTTAAAAGTGTTGGGCATTCATACACATTTTATTTAAAATGCACTGAGCTAAGCCACAACATTTACAATGTTACAATGTTAAATGTTGTGGCTCTGCTCAGTGAATTTAAAATAAATGTATATGAAGTCCCAACACTTAGGAATATGTAAAATTCAAGACATTTAATTTAGAATATTAACGAAGTAAAGTAACCTAGGCAATGTAATAGAAAAAAATCAAAGTTTACGTCATAATCATCAACTCGCTGCACTTGAAAACGTGTTTTTATCTCTTTATCTCTTCTACCTGGTTGGGATCTGAACCTGGGATTTCAATGGTGCTGGCTTAGCCCATAAATTACCATGTCTGCCCCATCGTACCACTGTAGTTTCAAGTCTTACATTGTAATTTTTTTTTAATCTGTAGATGCACTTTGTACGATTTATGAATAATCAGTTGCAAATCCCCATTGAATTAATCATCTTTGGGAATGTACGCAGCCAAATTAACACGTTGTGATTTTTTTTTCTCTCATAAATAGTCGTACGTACATATTTTGGGTGGTTGTGCAGTGCTGATAGGTGTTTATTTTCACTTATTAAAGCCTCCCCAATACCAATTACTATGGGGATCTAACCCACATACACACACTGGCACGTTGTTGGCAGGCATATATGACAAGAGAGCTTACAGTGAGTGCCCGTGGTGAAACAGTCAAACATATCCAGTACTATTGAAAAGATTGCCACTTCCTACTACACCTCCACTTAGCACGGTCGGCTATGCACGGCGCGAAAGAAGTTCAACATACACACGTGCGTAGCCACTTGCTACAAACGTGCTTTACACATTGACGAAGCAGAGCTGGTAAGCTCAGCATGTGTAGGTGTCCACATGTTGACAAAGTGCGTGCTTTTTTGAACGCCTGACAACCACCTGCATGCACAAAGCTCCCGGTGCAATTGTTTGGCGAATGAAGGATTGTCGGTGCACTCAAAGCACCCTTTAAAGAAAACATCCGAGATGCTCTATCAACACATGCACAGTGCCGGCAGATATATTTGCACATGTCATAGCTTCACTCTACGCACGCAGCACATTTTCAGGCTATGGGTCACCAGGGAAAATGGAATATTCTAAGAAGTCTGTTTTTCATGTGAAATGCCTAGCGTTTGCACGAGCTCCTGAGGGTGCAGTGTGAGCAGGTTCAATATATATTTGAATGTACAAGGTACGTTAAGGGTAATATATGAACAGTACGACTGTCAATGGTTTCTTTTGTGAAATAGTGAAAGCGTGTTTACCACTTAACCTCAATATATAGGATGTTTATGATCAACGTCCAGTGTAAAACAAATCTCTGCATTGCCTATACCCATACAATATACTGTGCTTTCTGATATATTTATGAATATATTTAGACTATGATAACATCCATTCAAAGTCCTTTATTTAATCAGGCAGGAGCCCTTGCAGAATAACCATCTAACTTTTAAGAGCAACGAGGGGCACTGATTATATGGGGACATTTGTTGACAGTGTTATGGTCTGTTTATGGTTCATTTTAAGATCTGGTATTTATAATTTGGCAGTGGTACACATTAGCCTCTTGTGCATAACGGTCAGGGGCCTGAATGTATACCACGCAGCAGGTTGTTTACTTTGACAATTCCCTGCAGAAATTATCGGGAAAATATAGAATTGCTCTGTGTGCATTGGTGAGAGATGAGCATTATACTATGCAACCATGATAATCACGTGATAGTAGCAGCTTACGGATGTTTGCAATGGGGTGACCCTTGGGTAGAAAGGCCCCTATAGAATGGATGTTGAATGTAAACAGTGTTATGTTTGAAAATAAGGAACGAATTTGTTTTATTTTTAACAGATCTAATCTTCCTGAAAGTCTACACACGAGGGGATTAATATTGGCTTTCATTTTAATCTTTCATGTCGTTGTGAATTGCTCCAATTAAATATATCTAACTGATCATTAGTGACTTATTTAGTGAGAATGGATGTTTTCAATATAACATTATTCATAAATATTATTTATCCACTGAGTATTTACACATCAAAATGGACTGTTCTGGGATTTTTTTTTATCATTTCGCAATTAACCCCATCAATAACATCATAATGCTTATCCCCATGTATTGGTGTTAGTCTGTCGTTGATATAATTATGCAGATGTAATGCTTTTCACCAGGAATCAAAAGGTGACCTGTATTCTCTACCCTTTCTATAATAACAAGGCTGCTGTTGAATTTCAAGCATACATCTGTAGCCCGGGCAATTCATAATACCAAAACATGCACGCCGACTTGTATGTATGTTGAACTTCGTTCGCACCGTACGTAGCCAACTGTGCTAATAGGAGGTACTTATGAGATTCAAACAATTAAGTTTAACCATAACAGCCCTTGTGATAATTAAAATATGTTAATGTGCCACAACATCCAGCCAATGTGTGAACAGTGGGGTGGAGTCAGAATATGAGACAATATCTGGATAAAACATGTCGGATTCCCTTGATATCGAGATACTGAGAATTGCAAGCATTTCCATAAAGGGGTGTGGTATCTAATAAATATTGATACTTTTACTCCAGCAATCAATATCACACCACACATAGGACATTAACTGATCATAGTTCACCTTCTCTCCTTATTGCATAACTTTGGGCGTTTCTTCATGCAATGCCCTTGCATAGGATACTTTAATATCCGGTGTTTGAGAATGATACTTGACGTATTGTCATGAAAAATGAGTTCCACAAGTAGCATGTCAAATTTAAGGCACGCTTGAAGATTTACAATGTATTTTTGCCATCGCATATAGTAATTGCATTAGCATCACACTTTTATCCAACCATTATGCAATTTCTTTGTATCTTATTGTTTATTCTATGTATGTATAATTTGTGGAAAATGTATACACAAGTGATGATCTTGTGATCAGCGTAGGATGCATACATTTATTTTTGGATATATACCTATAAACTTTCGACGACGGTGGTGTTGTTAATACTGTGCCAGGTGTGTTAATTTTGCTAAATGTATTCTGAAGAACCAGCACTGTGAATTATGGTCAAACAATCCCAGTGTCCAAAAGGTGTGGGGAGGCATTAATTCAAAAGGTGTGGGGAGGCATACATTCATGATGCAGAACATACACAAGCGTTAGTTATAAATAAACAAAACAATCCATTACTGTGTTATGGTTAGCCTAACATTTCCTCTGGGGTGGATACAACTCGTACCACTTTGTGAAAAGTCAACAATAGTCATGCTAGAGAGAGACTGGTACCCACTATGCAAATGTGGATTGTTCAGGACTGCTAATGGAGATGAGTGCTGACCCAATATTCGTAATCTTCAGTTGCAGATAGCTCAATACTTTGGGTCACGATAGTAGCAATAATGTTGCATAATTTCAATGATTCTTTACCTCCTACTTTAGAACTGATAGCATGCTCGCTGAGCATCCTCAATATTTACTGAGCAGGTTGGGGATTTAAACCAAGAAACCTTTTAAAACCTCATTCTAAGATAAATGTGACGAGGTTATGCAGTAAATTTACACAAAGGTGTGCATATATACATTGAAAGAAAATGCAATTTATGCCTCAGGCAACACTATGTATCCATATGTGTCTATGCAAGTCAAATGACAATAAAGTATATATATGTGTCGAGACGTAATTCTACGTTTAGGCAAGCAATTTATGAAAACAAATTGAATACGATATTAGTGTGTGAGCCACTCAAACATAATTGGGAGCCTTGGTTAGACGTCTGTTTATCAGTGGGACCCTACTGGCTTGTTTACTTTCCCAGTAGAGTAATTGTGTTTTCCTGAAA